CTGGCCAGGATTGCAGTCCCGGCGGGGGTGGGTGCTACAAGGAGAAGGCTCTGGGGAACCCCTACAGGGAGGAATGTCTCTCTAGGGAGCAGACCCTACAGAGGCAGAATCCAGAAGCTGCCAGGCCTGGCCAGGTGCCCATGAGGAAAAGACAGCTGCCCGCTTCCTTCTGGGAAGAGCCTCGGCCCACACACAGCTACCCCCTGGGGCTGGAGGGGGGACTGGGCCCCAGGGAGGGACCTCCCTATGAGGGTAAGAAACATTGCAAAGGCTTGGAGCCCTTGGATCCTGAGATGGCCCCCGTGCCCGCGTCTCCAAGGGCACTGGCTGAAAAGGAGCCACTCAAGATGTCTGGGGTCTCCCTGGTGGGCCGCGTCAATGCCTGGAGCTGCTGCCCCTTCCAGTACCATGGACAGCCCATCTATGCTGGTCATCCAGGGGCCTTGCCTCAGAGCCCGGTCCCCAGCCTGGGCCTGTGGAGGAAAAGCCCGGCTTCCCCTGGGGAGCTGGCCCACTTCTGCAAGGATGTGGATGGGCCGGGGCAGAAAGTGTACAGACCCGTGGTTCTGAAGCCCATCCCTACCAAGCCGGCTGTGCCCCCGCCCATCTTCAATGTTTTTGGCTACCTCTAGCTGGGCTGGGAGGGCCTCAGCTCCCACCTCTGGCCTGCGGGGGTGTTAGGGGCCCCCAGGAGCGCTCCTTGTGCAGAGTGAGCTGGGCAGTGGTGTGGCCTCTTGGGAGCCTTTCCTTTGTGTGTGTCTGGGAGGGGGAGGATGGGTTTGGGGCAGGGGCTTCTCAGGCAGTCGCCAAGTCAGCCCCTGCAGCCTTGGGAGCTATGGGGCTGGGCTCCGTTGGCCCCTCTCCAACCAGACCAGAGCCCGACCGATTGTCCCACTGTCCTTGGGCCGGTCTTGGGTGGTGGGGCTTTGCCCTGGCCTGCCCGCCACTCCAGAAGCCAGAGTTACACATCTGTTCATTGGCCACCCACCGTGTAAGCCAATCTCAGTTCTGTTCTTTTTGTTTTTTGTAAATATTAAGAAGGTTAAAAGAATAAAGACGTTTCTTTTGCAGTTTCCACATCTTGGATGTCATGGAGTTGAATGGTCCCCAAGCTAAGAATTGCGGGCCAGCAGCTCAATTCAAAGGAAGGGGGGGTGAGAGGAGTCACCAGGGAAGGATGCTCTGCTTGCCTGTGTGCAACAGCAGAGGATGGGGGAGGCCTGGATCTCCAGACAGTCCGAAGTGCTCTAGAGAATGGGGAGTACCAGTCCTGGCTCCACGATGGGATGTGGTGCTGGACCCTTCCTCCTGGGGCCTCCTTGCCCCACCTGCAGGGCGAGGGGCAGGGCGAGAATGGTCCCCCTCTGCTGTGCCTTCCACTCTGATTATGGCCTCAGAGCGGAGGCTGGGCCAAGGCAGTCCTGCCCGAGCCTGGTCAGAGGGAAAATCAGGACAAACTGGAACTTGGCTCCTTGTGGACAAGCCAGAAAAAAAAATCTCTAGCGAAGTCAGATTCCTGGGTGACCTGCCGATGGCCCTCTTCCTGGGCCTGGTGCAGTGCCTGGCACACAATGGAACGATGAGGGCCTCTGTCTGTGACAATGCACGGGGGGCGGGGGGGGGTTGCTGGTGGCAGGGATTGGCCCTGGGGTTTGCCCTCATGGTGTCCAGTTGCCACAGCCGTTGGAGAGGCATGCACCTCCATCCTGGCGCGGGATTCGCCCTGCCGTGTGCGGACATGCTCCAAGGCTGAGGGCACACGGACTTGCTGGGGGCATCGAGCTGCTCATTCCATCGAAGCCCCGTTCTCGCAGCTGGGACTGGTGCAGGGCCAGCCCCGGCTGGGGGCTACTGTGCCCTAATTAGCATGATGTTGGAAAGTTAATCTCCCTCTGCGCCTTGGTTCCCCCTCTGTAAAGTGGGGGACTAGGTCAGCAATAGCAAACAGTTGCACCTACCAGTTCTTCAACTAGTCGCAGACTGTCTCCTTCGGGGGCCAGATACGCCCTCAGAATCCTTCCTAAGCCAAGGCTCCAGGATTAGTGATTAAGCGTTCTTCTCCTTCCTGCCTGTTTTTACTCTAGGATTCCTGAGGAGTGGAGCATCTCCACGGGAGGGCAGCTTGCTCACTGGGAAGCTGGTGGATTTCTGGTAGTTTAAAGCTTCTGGTCTTGGAGGACTCGAGAGGCACGGAAACCATGTGACACCAGCAGGGTTGTTCAGAGTAATTATCTAGCACCCAGGATAGGGCCTCAGGACCCTCACCCCAGGCTGCTCTGGTCTGCCCTGCATGTCCCCTTCTCTCCCCCTGCACATCAGGAAGACCCTTCCAGATCCATTCCAGTGAGGCTCAGCCCCTCCCCCACTGTACAGGAGGGTGTTAAAAGCTCCAATCCAGGCTTTGCCATCTACCAGCTGTGTGACCTTGGGCAAGTCACTTAACTTCTCTGTGCCAAAATGTCCTCATCAGAAAAACGTGGTTGAAAATAGACCTGCACAGGTTGTCGTGGGGATGATGAAGAGCACACCTGGCATAATAAGGTGCTACGACACACCCGAGGGAGAGCTGTGCCAACCAAAAGTCGCCTCTCCTGGTTATCCGGGCCACCTAACTGTACTCCTTGGAGGAGCCGAGCTCCAGGGGGGCGTGTTTTCTCAGAGTGCTGCCCCAGCGCACCATGCTCTGCCCCCCGCCCCCCCCCCCCCCCCCGCAGCTCCTCTTGGGCTCCTTTCCCAGGGGACACCCAGTGATACGTGAATTCAAATGCAGGGAGGCTTCCTCTGCAAGCAGAAACCTTTGCTAGGAAGCAGCTAGACAGAAGCACGCCGCACCGACTCCCCGTGCAGAAACAAAGTGGGGAAAAACACATCTAGGAAAGCTGCGGTTAAAAAAAAAAAAAAAAAAAAAAAAGCAGCTGTGGTAACAGCAGATGACTCTCCTGACGGACAAGTGAGTCGTGAGTGGGGCTGGCTCAAAGGGAAACACGGGAACTCACCCCCTACCTCAGATCCCCAGCACTAGCTCGCACGTGCTCTTGCCCGCGAAATGAAATGGAACCACTTTCAGGATTTTGAGTGTTTGGTGACGCTGTTGAGACACCTCTGGAGCCAAAGTTTGGGGGTGGGGGAGGGGGTTTCTGCAGAGGGTCATGGCTCTAAAGTCCTCTGGGGAGCAGTGGTGGTCAAGAAATGTAACCACCAGCCCAGCCTGAGCACCGACCAATCAGAACAGACCCTTGGGAACAGCGCCGCCCCCACCCCCCCTCGCTGGCCAAGCATTAACCCTTCAGCTTCTGGGTTGTGTGTGGGGGGGTGCCAGGACCTGAGAAGGTCAAGGTTGGGAAAGACGCTTGGGGACGAGAGGGGCCCTGACCAGTGCCTGTGGCCCAGTATGGTCGAGCATCAGTACCCCGAGAATGCAGTGCGGTGCTGATGCCTCCCAGCCCCAGGTACCCCACATCCTACAGCCTGTGGTACCAATTCTAACCGCACAGGCTGAACACCTGTGGCTGCCCCACCCCTCCCACCTGCCTCCTCAACCTCCCCTCCTCAGACCGCAGTCCCCACCCGGCCCAGTGTCCGTGGCCACTGCCTGTTAGGACTCCTTAGGATGTATAGGGGACCTGAGAAATGCTATAGTTTGCCAGATACCCAGCCCCATCCTAAATGCACCCAAACATCTTTCTGCTCTGGCTCATCACGGAGGACTGCCGACCCCCCATCTGAGATTAAAGGCTCTCCCTCTGGCTGCCAGATGGGCAAAGGCAATTTTCGGTCAGGGTTTTCCCCTGACTATGCACTGAGCCCTCTCTGGCCATTTCCCCCAGGGGCCGTCGGCAGAACATCTCCAGTGTGAGAGGATGCAGGTTTCCGTGGGGATTTCTTTAGGATCTCTTGCAGCAAGGCCATAGGGGACCCTGGCGAGGCACTGTTGGGTTAAAACCTCAGGGATTTGCTATGTGTGCCGGGGCAAGTCCCCTCCCCTCTTTGGGCCTGTTTTCCCATCAGGACCATGAAGGAGTGCGCAAGATGTGGCTGAGTCCCCTCTGACCTGTGGCTGGAAAGTGCTGCTTGGCAGAATTTTCCTCTTCAGGAAGACACTGGGTCTTACTGGTTCCACGGAGAGCCAGTATGGAGGAGTCGGCAAGGACGCTGGGGACCACAACGATGGGGAATCTGAGGCCCCAGAGGAGCAAGCCAAGGGCAGAGCTGGACCTCAAAGCTGTGCTCCCCCACCGCCCAGCTGCTCATTTTGCCAAACCCAGAAATGACATTTGACCGCACTTAAGACGCTTCCAGGTTCTGGGGCAGGGCGGGCGCCGGCTCCAGGCAAGGTCACCTGCTCCGTCAGGTGTCACCGCAGACTGGCCTGGACTCCCGTGGCTTTTATCACGCTTTCCACTGCAGCATCGTGGAAACAGGGCAAGCTGGCCTCAGCACCCAAGAAGGTGCCATGACCGCACCCGCCTGAAGCCCCACAGAGCCACACGAGGACCCACGGAGGCAGTGGAGGGGACAGGGCCTCGTGCCCCCGGCTTGGTGCCTTTGCAGGGGTTGACAGCAGCCACCGCTTCAGCGCTGTGGCTCAGGTGGCCAGCATTTACATTTCTTCTCCTCCCTAGTATCTCAACTTCTGTAGCAAAATAGGGGTGGGCAGGATGTGAAGACAGACTGCCAGGAAACATGTGTGTGCAAGACAATCCCAGGTGTCAGGAGACTTGTAGACACCAAGCCCTGTTTGTGATGGAGCTCCCGTTTCCATGGTGATTGAAGTAGGAGAGAGAAACCAACCTGGACCGCTCTGCTCACAGGGCAGGAAGCTGCCCCTCTCCTTGGGCCGCCAGCTCCGCTCTGGCTCTCAGAAGCCCAAAGGGGATACATCTAGGGTTCTGTGCGCCCTGTCCCAGCACCTGCCCCACTCCCACTCCCTCCAGGAGCAGTGCTGAGGACCCCGGGCCCTGGGGGTGCGGGGGGGAAGAGGGACTTCACTGGGCAAGGTGTCATCTCTGCAACATTTATTGTACTTAAGGTGGGCCTCCCAGCCACCCCCACCAGACCACACCTCCGAGAAGAAAGCTCAGAAGTCAAGTGGAGAGTTTTGCGGAGCAAAGGGGGAGGGGACGGGGACAGCCCCGCAGCTAGGTTGTCTTGGAAAGGCAGACTCATCCCTGAAAGTGCTCCAGCCACAGCCCAGCGTTGGGGCCAGGGCTTCCCTGCTGGCTCCCACCTTCCCCCAGGCCACCCCAAGTTCTGCCCTGCGCCCCCCTCCCAGGCCCAGGGATGGAGGCTCCGCCATTCCCAATGGCAGAGAAGGTCCGGGGTCTACTCAGCAGTTTGAAAACAAACACGGTTTTTCTTCTACTTGACACATTCTGTTCTCTGGTCCGGGCAAAGCTCGGGCCCAGAGACCTGGCAAGGAGGCGGCAGCTGCCCCAGCCGCGCGGCCGGCAGCCCACAGCCTCTGTCTACCACCAGGTCCCCTCCCCTGGGGCTTGGGGCCGCCGCCTCCGTCCTGAGGCTTTAGTGAAACAGTCTGAGGAGCCGCTCCTCCTCGCAGCCTCGGTTACTGGGTGCTCTCGTACTTCAGGTACCTGATCAGCCTGCCGGGGAGCGGCAGGTCGTCCAGGAGCTTGATGCGGTGCTTCCCCACGGCCTTTCTCACGCGCAGCCGGCACAGGTGAGCCAGAGGTCTGGGAAGTTCTGGGGAAAGGAGAGGAAAGAGAACTGCTGCCATGCTGCTCGCAACCAGCACAGAGTTTGCATCTGTGGCCGCGGGCCACTGGGAGACACCTAGTCGATGTAGCCAGAGAGGCGCGGGGTGTTGAAGGGCCCTGGGTGGCTCCGGGAGTTAAGTGCCTGACTCTTTTTTTTTTTTTTTTTAAGATTATTTATTTATTTATTTGAGAGAGAGAGAGCACAAGCAGGGGGGAGCAGCAGGGAGAGGGGGAAGCAGGCTTCCCGCTGAGCAGGGAGCCCCATGCGGGACTCGATCCCAGGACCCTGGGATCATGACCTGAGCCGAAGGCAGACGCTTAACCAACCGACTGAGTCCCCCAGGTGCTCCAAGTGTCCGACTCTTGATCTCGGCTCAGGTCTTGATCTCAGGATCGTGAGTTCAAGACCCGCATTGGGCTCCACGCTAAGCATGTAGCCTATTTTTTTTAAAAAAGAGGGGGAGCTCTGTAACCCCAGCCCCTGCCAACTGAAAAGATTTGACAAAGTAGCTTCCCCCTTGTCGCCCCTCATTGATAGGCGCAGCCCAAGGAAGTAGCTGCGGCAGGTACTTCACAGGTGAGGATGTAGTGAGGACCACACCCGGAACCAGAGCTGCCATCCCCCTCGTCTTGCGCTCCTTCCTCTATATACACAGCCCAGACCCCCAGCACAGCCTTAGCAGAGGGGTCAGAGAGTTCCACCTGTGAAGTGCCCCCATGAATGGAATTCAGCCCTGAGCTCTGGTGGTGCAGAAAGGCCAGGGTGCGGGCAGGGATGGGGGACACCTCCCCACATGTCCTAAGATCCCACTTGGCTGCCTCCCCCCGAGGAGCCCTCCTGGGATACCTCATACAGTAGAGTGTTCTCAGCTGACGGCGAGGGGGTGTGGTAGGAACAGGGATTGATGTGTCTAGTAAGAGGGCAATTTATTTCAGCCCTGGGCCCGGGGTCTGGCACGGGGAAGGTGTTCGTTGAATCAGAGCATGCCATTCATTCATTCAACAAACACATGCTGACCCCTTCGTGGCATGGCCCTGTGTTCGGGCCGGAGATGCAGAGGGGCCTGCCCAGGACTTCGGGGAAGGCTTCCACACCAGATGGTGCCATCTGAGCAGGGTCCTGACAGGTGGGCAGGTAGGGATTTGCCAGGTGAAGAAGGGAGGCAGGCGCGAAGCAGCGGTGCCACGCCAAGGGGGCCGTGGCGATGCAGGGGTATTGGGGTGCGGAGGGAATGTGGAGGTAATGGCAGGTGGCTGCATTTCTGGCTCCTTGGTCTCGCTTTGGACAGAGCCTCCCATCTGGAAACCTCAGCCCCTTTCTCGGCCGAGAGAAGACAACTTGTGGGGAGGAAGGCCAAACGCCACTGGTGAGCAGAGGACACAGGCCCACGGGGGCTGGGCTGGTGGCCTGGGTGAGTTCTGGGAGACCTGCCACCTCTTGGAGCCTACTGTCCCGGAGTAATGAGGTCCACGTCCCAGCATTGGATGAAAAAGCCTGTGGACTGTGTTCTGCAGATGCGGTGTGGTCTTTAAAGTCAGCAACATAGATATTGGGTAAGAACTATTTTGTTCCATTAGTAAATGTTTATAGCACACCAAAGGGGTCTGCATGTTTTTCCCTGGGACTAGATCTCAGGAGGGATTGTCCTCTAGGGGGGCAGAAGGGGACAGCGAGGGGCAGGGCCCACATCTAAGCATGAACCGCTCCAGGGTCCTCTAGTGGCTAAGGGTCATGGGGATAGCAAGCAGTTATTCATGAACACAGTGAATGTTCATCGAGCCTCTCGTGCTGAGCCCCAGGGAGTGGGCAAGTCACCACCACCCTCCCCCATCACTGCCCTGATACCTTTATCAAGGGTCCAATTCAAATGCTTCCCAGGCATTTGTGCGAATGAAAAATCCTACAGTATATCTGGGTCCCACAGGGCTCGGGGATCAAGGAAGAAGGTGGCAAGTCAGAGCTGGGGCACTGGGGTCCGGGGCACCTGGACAGTCAGTGGACAGGCAACAAGGCAGCGCAGTCTCATCTGGGGACACAACAGAAACTTGCTGCGGGTCAGCCTCTCTGCTCTGTGATTGACAAGCACTTGGCCAGAGACGGGTCTGTGCCCCTGAGAGTGTGAGAAAGCCCTGGGGCAAATGGGATTCCTCTGGGCAGATGCCTATTTCTCAGTACCAGCGGCAGCACCCAGTTTGACTACTTCTGACACCACCTGCCCAGGTGGGCTCCATCATGCCCAAGAGGGGTTCTCAGCCTGACTTAGCCAGGCTGCCCTGTCCACAGCGCCAGGCACACCCACCTGCAAACACCTCATGCTGGCAGGATGGAGGGGGCTAGACAAGGAGCCTGCCCAACCTTCTCGGTTCAGTTGGGGATGCTGGGGCCCGTGGATGGTCACCCAGCAAGCCCCTGGCTCCAGAGCCCTGCCTCCCAGACCAGTACTGCTCCCCGTGTGTGGTCTGGGGGCCAGCAGCATGGGCACCACCTGGAAGCGTGCTGAAATGCAGACTCTCAGGCCCTGCGCCTGGCCTGCCGAGTCAGGATCTGCATTTTTAACAAAATGCCCAGGTGCTTTGTATGTACTTTGCAGTTTGAAATGCCTGAGACCACCACCTCTCCTCTACCCCTCCACACTACCTCTCAGTGACCTACGAACATGGGCAATGTACTGCAAAAGTCCCAATACTCCTCAGTGAGCTGGAACCGTTTAAAGCATCCTGGAAAGATCTGGCGGTGAGACTCCAGGGTTGGTTAGACCTAGGTCTGAATCCCCACTCTGCCACTAACTAGCCGTGAGACCTTGGCTCAGGTGACATCATCTCTTGGAGGGTGGGTCTTCTCATTTACAGAACAGAGTCATGGAGACACCGTATGTGACCTGCGCACAGAGCTCTGCACTCAGTAGGTGCTCATCAAATGTTAGTAGCAGTCACATGCCCCGAGTCCTGGGCCTGAACCAGACAGGGTGACCAGCCAGTAGCCGCAGTGACAGCCCCTACCTGCCTTCTCCTTGATGACAGCCCAGTCCTCGAAGCTGTCGATGTGTTCCTTCAGCCGCGAGCAGAGCTGCACGTTGCCCACATAGTCCAGGAGGACGTCGATGATGGGCCCTGCCCAACGGCTCACCTCTGGGGCAGACAGGATCTCGCAGAACTGGAAGAGATCACGCATTGGGGCTGGGGCTCCCAGGACCAAAGGCAGCGCCTCAGCGAGCACGTCTGTCCGGGAACCCGAGGCTGGGGAGGGCAGCAGAAGGATCCGAGGACGGACACGGGGCGCACTCCTGGCAGGATCCACCTCCACAGACCCACTCCCCTCATCAACAACATCCAACCGAAAACTGGAGGTGGGCTGCTTGGCCATCACCTCTCTAAGCCTCCACTTCCTGGTCTAGAAAATGGGAATATGACAACTGGAGGTTTGTTTTGTTTTTTAATGAGAATTAAGGTAATATATGAACGTAAACTTCTTGGCACACAGCAAGTGGCCCTTAAATGATTCCCATTAGCCATTATACTTCTGACTTGTTAGGTCATCACCACGGACAGGTCCTGCCTCCGGGCCACCCTGCCCCTCATCTGACCTTGGCCAATCCGCCCTCACGCCCATCCCCATCCTGGTCATGCAACCTCATATCCCAGGTGTAGGTTTGCTGCGAGTGACGGACGCCTCGGTTTTACACATCCCCCAGCAATCCCCAAGACCGAGGAGCCAAAAAAAAAAAAAAAAGATGTAACGGTTCCCGTGAACCACTCAGTTCTGGGGCCTCTAAAGCCACGGGCTTCCACGGCCTCCAGGGTGCGCCCCCTACGGAGCCACGCGGCCGCGGGAGGGCGCCAGCCACCCGTGCACACCAGCGCCCGCCAGGCGCGCCCCCGCCTACCTGGACCACGGCGGGCTCCTTGTCGGTGGCGGGCGTGTCGCTGAACCGGTTGGAGCGCGGCGGCGCGGGCGGGTGCGGGCCGTTGCCGTACAGGCACGAGAAGCAGGGCTCGCCGTCGCAGCCCAGGTCCATGAGGAACTTGAGCAGCGACAGGTACTTCATGGCGAACATGATGGTGGCGGGGAAGGCGGTGGGGTGCGTCGCGATGTAGGCGTCGATGTCGGCGCCGTGGTCCAGCAGCAGCTGCATGGTGCGCAGGCAGCCGTGGCGGATGGCCACGAGCAGGGGGCTGATGAGGTCGCGGTTGGGGTCGGCGCCGGCGAGCAGCAGCAGCTCGGTGGCGTACACGTTGTTGTTGACCACGGCGAAGTAGAGCGCCGAGCTGCGGCGGTCCTCGTAGAGGCGCGCGCGCTCGGGCGCCAGCGGCGCGTTCACGTCGAAGCGCGCGCCCAGCAGCGCCTCGAGCACCCCGTCGTGGTTGCGCTCGGCGGCCAGGTGCAGCGGGCTGATGCCGCTACGGCGCACGCGCGTGCGGCTGGTCACCGGCAGCAGCATCTGCACGATCCTGCGGGCGGGGCGGGCAAGCGCGGGTCACGGGTCGGCCCCGCCGGCAGGGGGCGCTGAGGGCCCGGGCCAGGCCGCTCAGGACTACCGCGCGCGGAGGCACGGGCCCACCGGCAGGGGGCGCGGGGGAGCCAGCCGTGCTCACCAGGACCGCCTTGGGGACGATGGGTCGCTGCTATCCCCCACTTTACAGATCAGGAAAACTGAGGCTCAGGGAGCTTCAACCACCTTTCCAAAGTCACATAGCCAGTAAGGGGTGGAGCTGGCCTTCAGACTCAGAACCCGTGGCCTCCAAAGTCCTAGTTCTTCCAAACCTCAGCCCGACTGGACTGTGGTCTCAAGACTCATTTCAGGCTAAGTAAGGAGTGTTCCCCATTCCCAGCTCAGTGATCCGAGGGAATTGGCCGGAAGGCCCACAAGCCTGATGCAGGAGGCACCTAATGCCCATGGTGATGTTTGGAGCTAGAGGTTTGGCACCCGCCCTTCCTAGGTGGGGTAGGGGTGGGCGGGGGGCAGCGATAGTCATAGCTGAGAGCTCACCATGCGCCAGGAGACCTCTAAAGGATTTACAAACACATTTTGGTTTAATCTTTTCAACAGCCCATCAAGTATGTCTCATCATTCCCATTTTGCAGATGAGAAAGATCAAGGCTCAGAGAGGTGGAGGCACGTGTCCAGGCCACATGTCGGGAGAGGAAAACCAAGGAATGTACCCTGCTCCTACTCCAGGGCTGAGCCGTCCTACATCTCTGTGGAGCTGTCAAGTCCCGGGGGATAGGAGGGGACGAATGTATCTGGCCCCAACCACTCCTGCTCTAGGCCCCAGTCAGCCCTCGGTGACCACGAAGTCCCCTCCCCTCTCCTGTGAGTCTCAACGCCTCTTTCCCTGAAGGCTGACTCGAGCCTCCCCCAGGCTCCCCCGCCTTGCCTGTGGCCTGGAGAGGGTTGATCAGCCATTGCTGAGGCTGGAGATTCCTGGGAACCCTGGTTCTGTTCGCTTCTGCTGCATCAGGCCCTGCTCTTGGCACTTAATCTACATCAATCTATTATATCCTCCCAGTAACCCTATGAGGTAGGACTTGTACTGTCCTTGTTTACAGATAAGGAAACCTGAAGCCCAGAGACGGTATGTGACTTGCACGAGGACACACAGCCAGTAAGTGATGGGGCCAGGATTTGAACCTCGGCAGTCTGATTCCCCAGGCCACACTCTCAATCACTGCCCTACGTCTTTGTAGCAGTCAGCGTTTTGCATCACGACGCTTTGACTTGCCTGCCCCATTTTACCTTCACTGCAGCCCTGTGGGGTAGCCAAAGCAGCTTTGTGGCCTTCCTTTTAACAGATGTGACTCCGAGAGAGACAGCAGCTCATCAAAGGTACTCAGCAACTCTGGGGGCTCAATTCCAGGGGCTCTTGACCCCTTGTCTTTGCTCTCTTCCCCTAGCCCCCTCCCACAAGAAAGAACAAGCTCCTGCCACGGACATGATTCCAGACCCTAATCCTTCCAGTCCTTGCTGACAGGTGGACTCGCGGCGCCACGTCTGCTCCAAGGAGGTGGCTGTGGTGGGGCAAGCAGGTGCCACCAGGCCTGTTCCCACGCCTTTCTGGCATGCTGGCTTCGCGGCTTCCTGGAAATCTTATGCCAGTGACCTCCTGCTAGGATCTCAGTGGAAGGTCTTATTATTGTTAGTGACGCTCTGTTTGCCTAAAATCTGCCTCTAAAACCTCAAAAGGAAATTCACACACCCGGGGGGGCTAATTGCCTCCTAATTTCTATTTGTGCCGGCACAGGAGGCCTGACCTCACTCTGTAGAGGTGCTGGTCAAAGGCAGGGCTGGGGCCTCACCCTGGACCACAGCCATCGCCAACAAATGCTCCCTAACAGCCGTGGCAGGCCCGAGCCCGGGAAAGAACAGTGACAGCGACTGTCCTGGGGCCGCCGGCCAAGTGGGGCTGGTAGCCCTGGCAGGTCACAGCTGGCCTCCAGTGATCCCCTGCCCAACCAGGGGAAAGTGACAGGAATGTGGGAACATGACTGGATGCTGCCTATGGTCCCAGAAGCATCCTCTTGCTAACGCAGGAAAATCATCTCATTTGTGCCCCTCTGTGGGACTCTGCCAATCTGAAAGTAAATGTGCCCTGCAGGACAGGGTCTGGAGAACAGCCCCTGCAGGCCTCCCATTTTACAGGGGGTGAAACTGAGGCCCGAGCATGGGGTGGGGACGAGAGTGAGGTCAGATTGGAGGTGGATGACAAAGCCAGGGCGGGATGTAGGTGTCCAGAGGGCCCAGGGCAAGGCCTTTCCGTGCTGCCCCACCCCACTAGCCCCAGGGAGTGGCCGTGTCGGCTGTCCTGCCACAAATCATCACTTCTTTCCCCCAGCCCATGTTGTGGGACTCAGGGCTGGAGGAGGGGGGGTACCTCACGAGAAGGGCTGGAGACTCCCTACTTCTCCCACTGGCAGGTCCTGGGACCACAGGGCTCAAAATGTACCTCATGAAGAAGAACAAAGGTGCCCACTGCCCAGTCAAACCTTTGGTGTCTGGGAGGCCGGGTTCCCTGCTCCCCTCTCTCCCTTCCCCAGTGAAGGGCCACACCTACCAGCCCAAGCCCCGAGACCAGAACAGACCCAGCTCAGGGCTGTTCCAGGGAAGCCTCCCCAAAAAAGTGTTAAGTGGCTTGCAAAGGTAATTTAAATTAGAAGTAAAAGAGAAAGGATGGTTAAAAACGGGGGCATCAGAAGCGGGGCCCAAAAGGCCAGCCTCCGTTATATGCCAACCACAAAATAGACTCTAAGACCCTGGTTCTCTATCGGGCTGTGGGTGAAATCATCTGGGCAGGTTTTAGAAACCCTGAAGCCCCAGCCCCAGCCCAGACTGCTTACATCAGAGCCTCTGAGGATGAGTGAGGCCCAGACATCAGGGGTTTTAGAGCCCTGGGCGGCTTCCAGCATGTAGCCAAGGCTGAGACTTGGCTTTCTTGGTGTTTCTCTAAATTCAGGTTAAAGGATGTGTGGGGCATCTGGTCTTGTCCAACACAAACCGTTTCTCAATAAATCTATGTGTGGTGTTGAGTTTTAATCTCATAAGGTGCCTTTGCTAAACTGGAAGTGAAGTACAAGGTAACGCGTGCCTTGGAGGTGACTTCGGTGTCCTGTGGGCTCCTTTCTCGGCCATACCCGAATGTCACAACCTCTGGTTAAAGGCGCTGTGGAGATGGCACCATCTGGTGAACCCGGAGTGCTGCTTTCCACGCTATAGACGGGCAGGGTGTTTTGGCAGGTGGCTGAGTGCGGAATGCCTATGGAATGTCACATCAAGTCCCCAGGCAGCCTGCGGGAGGTTGGCGTGGAGAGGGCCATTAATGCCACATGTCTGAGGAGTGAAGGGCCCAGGGCTTGCCTGGCCGTGGACCCTGCCAGGTGGCAGAAGTTGCTGGGAACCCAGCTTCAATCCTTTGTTGGGCAGCCCTCGAAAGTGGCCTGGCCCCTCTCGGTCTTGGGGAGCAGAGGGAAATGGGGCCTGGGAACAGAGGGGGAATGACCAGGGAAGTCACTCTGAGAGTCATGAATCCAAAGCAGATTTGGGGGAACACAAGATGTTCATACAGGTGGTTCCAGAGGGGACCAGCCTTGCTCCCTGGTCATCCTTAGGCACACCTAGTGCTCCTTCAGCTGCCCCTCCAGCTGGGGCCAGACTGCCAACATCGGGGTCCACTTGAGGCATCCGGGTGTGATGGAAGGATGCCACTCTGTGGTAAGCCGCTTCCCATTTCCTTCCTCTGCAAAATCAGGGCTTGTATTAGATCAGTGATTCCCCTAAGGGTGTGGATGGGCTGTATCTGGTTGGTTGGCTCGGGGAGCTTTTCAAAGGTAGAGGCTTAGGCCCCCTCCCTCCTGGAGGTTCTGGTTTAGTGCTTCTGGGATGTGTCATTTAGCAAATAGCCCAGAGAGATGGTGCTGTGCACAGGCAAGTGTGGGGATCCAGTGGGCCTGGAGACTTCCAAGGGCCGTCTCCTTCATTCTTTGGATCTCTCCCTCAGGGTCATGCTTGAGATAAACCGTGTTTGTTGACTGATGCTGGGTCTTTCTGGGGCCGAAGAGAAAGCATCCATCTTGCCCGTCACCACTGCCTGACTTGGTGCTTTCTTCCCTCTACTGGCTGAACTGAAAAATGATGGAATGTGCTCTTCCTACCTAGGAGAGTGTAAGCGCCGACCTGCGGGGTACCTGTGCCCGGAATTCTGTGGGGTGCTTTAATTCCATTCTGTATCCACCTCACTAGTCCTAACAACAACCCCATAAAGCAGGTGTAACTGTCCCCCATTTTACAGAAGAGGAAACTGAGGCTGAGAAGGGTTAAGCAACGTGACCAATGGCTTCAGCAGGAATGCAAACCCAGGTCGTCCGTGTGCCTTGCAGCCTGCTCTGGGGTTCAGGGAAGGAGGGGTCTCCTCTGTGCATATATCCGCGGGGGGTGGGGGGCATCTTTGGTTGGCCATGTATATGGAGCCTGGGGCTTCAGGGGTCTGTCTCTTTGTCCCCATTCCACTCCCCAGGATGTCACTCTCATCCCCATTTCCCTCTGCCTTCTCAAACACAGCCGACACCCCCCAACGTGCACAATCTGTGTTCTTCTCTCTTCTCTTTGCCTGATGGCAGGCCGTGTTGCCCAAAGTGTGTCATCTGGGGTGCCCTTGATGGAATTTTATGTGACATGTTTTCTTTATTAATTGTGAATTGGCAATTTCAGTGATTTAATAGTGTGATGAATGTTTCCTTTTGAAAACAAGTTCATTTTAAATAAACATGTCTTCAAAAGAAAATATACTCAACAGTGAGAGTTATAGATGCCTACCATCAGGAAGGAGGTCTGTGAATGGTCAAAGTTTGGAAAACACGGGTCGAGTGGGTATCACGGAGCCCTGTCACCCTTCAAGAGCAGCTGGGGTTCTGCCCTCCTCGGGGAGCCTCCCCTGAGCCCATCAGCTGGCCATGGTGCTGATGCATGTTTAACCGCTGGCTCCTCAGGGGGCAAAGGGGGCCCTGAAATGTTGCATTCACCAATTTCCGTGGTGTAAATACTCTCACTGTGGCCGATTTCAGGCTGCCCTTGTGAACAGTTGGCTCCCGTGAGCTGGTACAAGCCAACTCTAGCACACCTCTGCCTCCAGCCCCTGCCAGTCTCTCTCCTCCAGGACTGCCATGGAGCTCAGCCTTCATGCTCTTTCATTACGTTATGCGATCATGTGTGTGTGTGCATGTGTGTGTGCATGTGTGTGTGTGTGTCCTGCCCACCAGATCGCCCCCTGAGAACTTAAGCTTCTCTTGTTTTGCTCAAAGTGCCCAGCACATAGTAAGTGCTCAGGAAAGGCTAGCTATGATCCTTGGCACTCTTTATGTTATTGTATCGTTGGTACTATCCGTATTAGTCTCTGCAGCCTCTGCCTGCTTCCTAATTGCCTGCGAGGTTATCTTTGCATTCCCAACAGAAATAGGCATGAGTCCAGACTCATATCTGGCGCCCCGAGTGCAATGCCTGTAGATGGGACATTTGTAGCCGCTGAGCTCTTGCCATCTACGAGATGTGTGACCTTGGGCAAGTCACTCAACCTCTCTGTGCCTTAGCTTCCTTGTTTGAAGAAATGTAGATAATAGGATCTACCTCCAGAGATCTGGTAAAAGGCTTGTTAACAGTAGTCAGGAGGGTGAAGTAAGTTGATAATGTAACGCACTCTAGCTTGCCAGCTGCTGGAGAGTGTCCTCCTCTCTACCTGGAAGGTGCCCTCCACCCCGACCCCTCCTGGGCCTCCTGAGTCCCGTGGGCGGGACACTTGCAGCCCCCGCTCCAGCAGCGGGGAGCCACGGAGCACGGTGGCAGGGCCCGGGCTGACCTGTAGTTGCCCTTCTTGGAGGCGATGTGCAGCGGGAGCATGCCATCCTTGTTGGCCTTGTTGGCGTCGGCGCCTTGCGAGAGCAGGAACTCCACCACATCCTCGTGCTCATTCTTGCAAGCCTCGTAGAGGGCGGACGCATTGTCACTGGCCTGCGTGTTGATGTCGGCGCCTGGCCAAGGAGAGACAGATCAAGGAGTGAGCGGGCGGTCACTGTCACGCGCTGTGCCGGCCACCGTGACCCAGGGGGTCATTTAACAGCAACTCCCGTTTGCAACAGCGAGACCCAGGGGGCCTCTTAGAAGCAAAAGCCTGCTTCGACAATGCTGGCGTTTACTGAGCACTTACTACGTGCCTAGCACCCTGCGTGACGGGTGCTCTCTCTTGGAATCCACAACATAGCTCATGCCATCGGTCACAGCTCTCACTGGCATGTGGCTGACAAGGACACCAAGGCACAGAGCACCTACACCACGTGCCCCAGACCACCCAGCTCATAAGTGCAGACCCAAACTTGAACCCAGATGGTCTGACAGTGGAGGCCCCGACAGATGATCTGATGGCAGAGGCCATGCTCTTCACCCTTGCTGCATGTGAAAGTGACCGAGGCCCTGTCCTGAGGAAGCCCCCTGGCTCAAGGAGCGTGCAGAGCCCCCTAATAAGGAAAGGCCCCAAGAACTTTATTAATTGGGATTTGTTCTTCTCTGCCTTCCGTGGCAAGGAATAAGGGAGGGATTGCTTCTGGTCCCCTCTGCAGAGGGCACAAGAGCATGCTGGGAGGTGAGGAATCGAGCCAGGGACAGGCTCCATCAGCCTCATCTCCTACATCTTCTCCATCTCTTGCTGGTAAGGGAGAGACCCATGGGTTTCTCTGCAAAAAGAGGTACAGTCTCTTCACCAGTCCCTCCTTATTTTGGAAGGAGATAGAGCGGGGACAGCAGTGAAGTGTCAGTAGGGGCTGAAATCCCAAACATCTGTTAACCACAGCTGTGCTCTGCCTGGGCGTTCTGCTGATTTCAGGCTTTCTGGTAATTTTCAGTTTTGATAACTGACTTCTGGTCTAGTGGAAAGAGCACAGGCTTTTGTGAGCAGCAAGAACCAGCGGAAGTTTCTGTTTCGTGGCTTGCAAAGGCCTGTGGCCTGGGGCAGCCTTCAGGGGCCTCAGTTTTCTCCTCTGTTGACTGGGAATAATAGTACCTACTAATCAGGGTTACTTTGAGGTGTAAATAAGATAAAATACGTAAATATCTGCTATGGGCTGGTTGTTTGTGTCCCCTCCAAATTCATATGTTGAAACCAAATCCCCCGTGCGATGGTGTTAGGAGGCGGGGTCTTTGGGAGGTGTGAGGGTTATGAGGGTGCAGTTGTGCTCCTGAATGGGATTAGTGCCCTTCCCAAAGAGACCCCCAGGAGCTGCCTGGCCCCTTCCACCGTATGAAGACCCAGTAGGAGACCCAGGCTGTCTATGAACTAGAGACAGGCTCTCACCAGATAACAGATCTGCCGGCACCTTGATCTGGGACTTCCCAGCCTCTGGAACTGTGAGAAATAACTACCTGTGCTCTGGAAGCCCCCCTGTCCACAGTGTTCTCTTACAGCAGCCCGGACGGACTAAGACAATCTCCCGGCACAGTGCCCGGCACAGACAAGGTGCTCCCCAAAGGCCAGTCCTCCGGGATGGAGGGACCCGGGCACAGAGGCTGGCTTCACTCTCCACCCTGCGGGAAAGTCGGCCAATAGGTCCAGGCTCTTGAAGTCAGGCTCCCTGGAAGCCTGGACCCCGCCAGCAAAGCCGCCCGCTCTCACCAGAAAAATATTTGGATTTGAAAGTGGACTCAGCCCACAAAGGGAGCAGACCCTGACTCAGACCATCGGCAGGAGAGCTGGACAGATGTTTGGAGTTGGCTCGTTCCCCTTGCCGGCTGAGCACCCTGCCCTCTGCCCAGCCTCCTTGCCTGGGCTCCCAGGACACTGCCTGGGCCCCTTTGTTCTCAAGCTGGTCAGTCCAGAGTTGTCTCCGGCTGCAAGGACGTGCCCTGGATTTGTTTTCCCAACTGCTTAGGCTCGTGCTGGGGAAGCGGGTGTTTATCCAAGCAGAGTCCCATGCTGGTAATTCTCGAGGCCCGCGGTGGCGTGGCGGAGCACAAGAGGTGTTTGGAGTCAGAGGCCTGTGGCCGGAATCCAGGCTCTGATTGTGACCAATCATCTAACCTCTCTGAGCCTCAGTCTCCTCATCTGCTGAATGGGATGAGGACGCTGCCCACCTCATACGGGGCTGTGGGAAAACCCCATTGGATCCGTGTTCCTGTTCAACAGTGTCTAGCACACAGCAGGTCCTCAACAAATCACTTCAGCTCAGCCCGGGGGTCTGTCGGGCTTTACTCCTGGTCCCTGTGTTGCTAGAGAGGGAGGCTCACTCCCCAGGGAGAGAGAGAAAAGAAATCAAAGGTGTTCTCGGGGAAGAACAGAATAACGATGCTCTTTAGTCAAAAAAATGTCTCAGGGTGTATTCTGTTCATAATGCAGGCAGTGGTATTTTGTTTTCTCCTGTTAAGTGACTAAGATTTTTCCCCAGGCAAAGAGTGCCAAGACCCGGGTTTAAATCCCACCTCTTCCACTACTTTGCGGTGTGAACTTGGACAAATCACTTTCCCATCCCGGTCCCTGGTTTCGTCATCTGTAACATGAGAAGGTGACCTAAATGTTGTCCGAGGTTCCTTGTGGCCTTGAAGTGTGACACCGTGGAGAGGGAAGTGGTTGAGGTGTCAGGAGACCAAGAGTCTGGCTCGTTCCACCACTAATTCGCTACAGACTGTCAGGAAGTCACTTCCCCTTTCTGGGCCTCAGATTCCTCATTTGTAAAATGAGGATGTTGGGCTAGATTAGAGATGACAAACAGGTGGCACGTGGGCCATTCCCCACCCCCACCCCCCACCCCCGCCCCAGGTTTGGTCTAATTGCAGGCGTCGCTGGTCAATCACTACACGTCTCCCGCGGAGCCCAGAGACAGCCTCTGAATCCCTCTCAACACAGCGTTCCGAGAAGGTACTATCACCCAATCGGGGTGTGTCCCCAAGGTGACACCTAAACTTGCCTCCCCTTGGACCTCGGAGGTCCTACCCAGCTGTGCCCCTCCCAGCTGTGCTACGTGACCCAGGGGCCCTTAGCACTCACCGTATTTGGCCAGGAACCTCAGGGCCTCCAGCTGCCCACTCTGGGCTGCCACGAACAAGGGGGTGATGCCGTAGGCATTCTTGGATTCCACCTTGGCGCCTCTGCTCACCAGGATCTCCATGACCTCCAGGTCGTTGCGAGAAACAGACTCGTGCAGCGCTGTCCAGCCTCGGTTACAGCGGTGGTTGGTGTCCGCGTTGTGCTGCACCAGGATCCGCACGGCCTCCACGTTCTTGCGCTCGCAGGCTGTGCCCAGGGAGAAGCCAGAGGGTCAGCAGGGCCCTGGCAGGACCTGGCCGCCGAGACATCACTCACTCATTTGTCCATTCAGCCACTCAGTCCCGTCAGCCGTTCATTGGACAAACACCCACTGGGTCTGTACTGAGGTCCAGTCCCTGCGTTTTACCCAGGAAATACACCTAAAGTAATAGCAATCCTAATAGCAGTAAGACTTGCTGATGTATCTAGCACTGATTATGGGCCAGGCACCTTACACAACCAGCTAATAGAATTCTCCCAATCACCCTCGAAGGATATCGTGTTATTATTCCTTTTCACAGAGGAGGAAGATGAGGCACGGAAAAGTTAAGCGACTTGCCCAAGGTCACACAGATAGTGACAGAACAGGGATTCAAGCTCAGGCAGTCAGGTCCAGAGTCTCTGTCCCTTGGGGGGTTCCAGGGTGTCCCTAACTCGTTTCCCTCTTCAATGCTACCTACTTGAGTCCTGCACATTGACAGGGTCGGGAGAGGGGGAGGGGGCTGTCATACTCCTGCTCGAAACCCTTCCTCAAAGGCTACTCACTTAAATTGAAGTAACATATGTCTTCTGAGTACAGCTCATCAAGTCTTCTCGAGCTGCTCAAACCTGCCTGTTAAGCTTCCTTGCTTTCTAGAACCTAAATGCACCGTTGGCCCTGGCCCAGGGTTATCACCGGAGGCTGGGCTCTCGTCCAAATTCACCACTTTTTCGAGTTGGTCAGGGGTGAGTGCGAGAAGGGACCCCAGGCAAAGCTCCCTACCCTCAAAGCCTTGTAAACCAGAGATCACAGAACCTTCCTGAGAGGACCCTGTGGGAGCACCGGGTGAGGCGGTGTGTGGAACGCTCTAGCACGGTGCTTGGCACATGAGAGGATTGCACGCAGCACCAGGGCCTAAGCTGTGGCTGAGAATTGCCCAGTGTTCGGGAGCTCTCTCTGGGACAACTGCATCTCCAGGTGATGGCTCTGGTGTCCAGGTAGATGTGTCTTCTGACAGACACTTCGACCTCCGGTGTGCAGTGGACCCAGTTACCAGCTACCCGGTTCCTGCTTCCCCTGGAATGTTCCAGGTACTGGATACCAGGCACATGGGTAAATCAGGGATTTCTGTAGTGTTTCAAGGTGTAAAGGTCCTATCATATTTGTAAGCCCCAGGGCTGATTGCTTAAGCATGTATGCATGATCTGAATGCTTCATAATGTCATAGTTCAGCGTGTGTTGCTGGCAAAGAGCTCCCTGAGTTTAAAGCCCAGGTCTGCCCCTTGCTGGAGTATGTGAGATCCTGGGTGCCTCGTTCCATGTCTCTATGCCTTGGGTCCTCACCTGTAAAATGGGGGATACCTCCCATGTAGTGCCTATCTCATACATAGGTGGATATTAGGGTTAAGTTAAAGAACAGCGCCTGGCACATAGTAAACATTCAGTAAATGCCAGCTATTATGATCATTCAGATTTTGACTCTGGGCATTTGCTAGAGATGCCAATGTCCTCGGATGATGTATTGAGTGAGCTAGGAGTTTCCAGGTTTTTAAAACATCCCAGAGGTACACATTTTCTTTCATACCTCTTTGCCTCTGCCTCTGCTGTTCCCTCTGCTTGTTCAGCTGCTAACTCCCTCCTGTTCCAGCTCAGCTCAGGCACCACCTTTTGTGGGGGCTCATGCCCAGCATTAGAGTCCTCCCCCATGCTCCCACGTGCATCATGCTGAGCTCTCTGCTGCCATTAGCTGGCTGTTATGTTGTCTATGTGTCAGTACCCACTGGGCCGGGAGAGTGCATGGGCACAGATCATATCCTTTTGTTTCTAAGGCCCTTAGCGCTCCTCAGTGTGCCTGGCCCATGGAGGACTTGGGATGTATGGCCCGAGTAGGTGCATGAATGAACGACTCAATTATACAAGTTATACACCTGAACGAGGCTGCCCCTTCAAAGGAGACCCCTGGCTGGGGTGTGTGGGGGGTGGGCAAGGCTCCCGATTGCCCACCTACTCTCTGGAGCCTTCCCCAGAGAAGCCCACTCTGGGGGGCTCACCTTTGTAGAGCGGTGTCTCTCGGGACTTGTTGGAGATGTCAGGCTCAGCCCCAGCCTGGAGCAGAGATCGGAGGCAGTCCAGGTGTCCCCTGCACGTTGCCAGGTAAAGGGCCGTTTCCTCCTGCAAGGTGCGCTGGTCGATGACTCCTGGGTATGCTGGGGAAAACAGACGGGAAGTTCATGAAGGGGGAAGATACCCCCTCCTCCTCAACACAAAGGGAACCCCAATTTCCAACGACAGACATGTGTGGCATCCACCTAAATTTACCATCCATCCTCTCGGCCCTGGACTCAGTTGCTTTCACAGGGCTGTTTCAGCTTCCCAGTCTTATTAACTCAGCTCAGATGCTGCCTCCTCTGGGAAGCCTTCCCTGGTTGAGCCCCCTCCCTCTCTGAATGACCCGGTCCTTCCCTTAAACTTCCACCAGCCAGGGTCAGAAGCTCTGTCTCATACAGCTGTTTCTGCCCTAGCATATGGTGGTGGGCTGTCTGGGGTTCACGCTACCTCAGGGCAGAGTTAACTCCTGTCTGCAGGTGTTATCCATATACATCTGGCTTGGGGGGACGCGGAGGCTTGGAGAGGGTTTGCCCAGGTTCCCACAGCTGTGGGGGACGGTCTTGGCAGGGCATAGGCACAGCTGTGGTATTTTCCACACCACATTAGTCCCTGGAACATTCTGGAACAAGCTGGCAGTGGCTCTCCCAAAAAGTGAGCCCTCCCTCATTCCTTTTCTAGGAATTAGGCTCTCCCGTCCCGAGAGGCCTAGAGAGATGGCAGCCGGCTGGGTGGGGACAAGTCACTTTCTTCTCCCAGCTTGGTGATTTTAACTCTGCAGTGGGGGTGATAACCTTGCCGTGCTCCCCCACCCCCACCAAGATTTGTGGGGCAAAGAACACGAAGCTCCAGAAGGAAGGAGCCTCTGCCCTGGGTCCTGCTCCCGCCTCTGGCTGCTCCCAGAGCCGCCGCCTCACCTTGCTGCAGGGCCTTCAGGCAGCTCAGCTGGCCGTAATAGGCCGCCTCATGCAGTGGCAGCCAGCCTTCCTTGTTGGGCTCTGCGAGATTCTTCCCTGCCTTGATCATAGCCTTCAAGGCCTCTTCGTCCCCTTCCTTGATGGCCTTCAGCACGGGGTCCACAGGCCTGTGACAGCAAGGGGCGGGTCACTCCTCAAGACCAGAGCAGGGCAGAGGTGGGGCTGGGCAGCCTGCCTCCCAGAGAAGCAGGACGACTGGTGGCCAGGGGCAGTGCTGGCCGTGGGACCACTCGGTCCTGCTTGCCCCTGCTGGTCTGGAACAGGTGCTCAGGCCCCCTGCAGCCAGCGGCCTCCTCAATAAGGAGAGTAATCCTTCCTAACCCACATGGGTGTGCCCTGGAACTCGGCCTCGACCTTGGCCCTGACCTTGGGCCCTCCAGCTTATCCGTCCGTCAGCTATCCATCACAGCTTCCTCAGGCCTGTCACCCTCAGCCTGGGGGCCCCGGTCAGCCTCTCTCTGCCTCTCGTCAGAAGCCCTCATGTAACTGCTGGCCTTTACAAGTCTTTGAATGGTTGTTTGACTACTGTCTGTCCCCCCACTAGACTGAGTTCCAAGAAGACAGGAACAGTGTCTTTATTTCTTTATTTCTTCTCTCATGATTTCACTCTCAGGGCTCAGCTCAGTGTCTGGTCCGTAATAAGTGCTCAATAAATATTTGTAGGAAGGAAGGAAGAAAGAGAAAGAAAGAAAGAAAAGGAAGGAAAGAAGGAAAGAAAGAAAGAAAAAGAGAAAGTGGAAAAGGGAGAGAGGGAGGGAGGAAAGAAGGAAGGAAAGAAGGGGGGATGGGAGGGAGGGAAAAATTCAGAACCTAGGAACCCCAACAATTACTTCACTCCTTCATTTCTTTTATTTCCTTCTATTTCCAAAATGATGGCCTCCCCCCTATGAGCATTTTGCTTGTTTCTTTGGAATTATTAAAATATCTTGCTCAGGGGCACCTGGGTGGCTCAGTCCTTTAAGTGTCTGCCTTCGGCTCAGGTCATGATCTCAGGGTCCTGGGATCGAGCCCCGCATCGGGCTCCCTGCTCAGGCGGGGAGCCTGCTTCTCCCTCTACCCCTCCCGCTGCTCATAATCTCTTTCTCTCTCTCAAATAAATAAATAAAATCTTTTAAAAAATGAAATAAAATATCTTGCTCAAAACATTCTTCACAATTGCCTCCTTTGAGAATTTGGAGGACATACTGGCCTATAAAAGTCACTGTGGGGGCTCTGATCAAGCCTTGCCAGTGTTTGGTCCCCCTGTGAGCATTCCTAGATCTGGGGCACTTCCATGCCCTTAGCTCCAAGTGGGCACCCTGCAGGGAATGTCTATAAGAAACGGGCTGAAACATGGCAAGCTCATTCACTTCCACAGATGGAAACCGGGGGTCTCTTTTAGACAGAGCTCCTTGGTGGCCAAAAGAGAATTAGGGAACCCCTCTGTCCCTGCGGCTTGCAGGGCTGCATCTAAGGTTACACCAAGACCATTTCTACCACGAGGATGCGGGCATGCAGTGCCAATCTCCAAAGGGATGGATAGCTAACCCTGCAACAGGTTTCAGCACAGTGCTCCAGTGTTTACCAAGAACCTCGACCTATGGGGCCAGTTTGCCCTTCAAGCAGCTCTGAGACCAGAGTCCCTCAGAGGGGGGCTCTTTCCAGCGAGCATCTCTCTTGGGTCTTCCCAACCCCCCCTTTGGTCCTCACCCTTTATCCTCACCCCCAGAACATTTAGCTGCTGAAAGACTTATATACTTGAAGGATTAATAAATTTGAAGGCTTCGCAATTAAAACTTCTGAATATCAAAAAAAGATTTCAGGGCTAATGCGAATGAAAACTTCTTTGCTACTTTGTTCATTCATTCATTCATGCATGCATGCACTGAGCTCCCTTCCCTCCATCCTGGAATCAGTGAGGACCAGGACCGCTGTGATTCCTAGATCTACTCCTGGGGAATGTTCTACATAAGTGGTCCCATTTTCCAGATGGAGGTGAGACTAGAGGCAGGTCTTGTTCCCAGGGCCCTCACCCACGACAGGGGCCAGGATAGGCCCCAAGGGTCTACACAGCCAGCCCCTTTACCCTCCCAGCTGCTTCCTCCGTGGTGAGCGGCACTTCCTCCTGACTCTCAGCCTCTCTGGTTATTAATAGCTTCAGAGCACAGATGCTGGTTAAGTTACAGACCCGCGAGCACAATGGGTAACTGACCAGATAAGCCCTGAAGCCCCCATCAACGCCATCACTACCACCTTGATGGGGTCTTCTTACAAGCGGCCAGAGCAGCCCCTGCTGGTGTCAGGAGAAGCCCCAGTGGGTATGTATCCTGTCTCCCCTGGAAGGTCTCCTGTGGGGCCCCGGCTGAAGTGGAAGAGCGGAGGGCTGGCTGTTTTTGTGGCCTGGGGGGTTGGTGCGCAGTGCGTGAGAACACTCCTGGGACCTGCTGTCCACCTTGGGTCTCATCCAGCTCTGGTGCACAGACCCTGAAGCTCTGTGAGTTCAGCCCAAGCCCCGCCCCGAGGGTGGGGGAAGCTGCTGGGGGTGTCACACCGTCCGAGACTAAGGAGCTGGGCGGGACCCAAGAGGCCACTCTGTCCTCTCCAACCTTGTCTCGCAGAGAAGGGAGATTCAGAGAGGGACAGCGACTCCCAGGCAGCCACACAGGAAGGGGCAGCAGCGCTGAGAGCAGAACCTGGGTCCCCCTTTTCCAGACTGTCAGGATTCCACCCGCAGCAACAAGGAAGTGGGGGCGGCAGGGTTTGAAAAGAGCTGGGAAGAGACACAGAACACTGGCCAATTGCCTCATCCCCTCTCTGCAACATAACTGGAGTGAGGAAATAGGGGTTCCTGCGATGGGGCCCCTCTTTTGCTTTTAGCTGCTTCTGGGGTTAATACAGGCGAGCAGAGAAGGGGGACGCAGCTAGCCCAGCAACCTGGGGCCAGGCGAACAGAACCCCTTCTGCAGCTCGGATTAATTCTGGATTTTACCACCTGGCACAGAGCAAATAAAGGCAATGAGGCAAAACAAAACCCATGGGTGTGAGCGTTGTGGATATGCTCCAATATCCCCACAGTGATGCATGGGGGAAACTGAGGTAAATAGAATGCGTGGCTGACTCATCAGCTTCAGCTCTAAGCTCCTCTGAGCCTCTGGGGTCCTGGGGCCGTCTCCCAGGGGGCTGTGCCATCCCCCGGGGCCCACTCCGGGGGCATGAAGGTGTAAATCACAGGCACAGGCCTGGCTGACAGTTCCTTGAGGAGATGAGTCTGTGAGCGCAAAGCCCAGATCAGCAGGAGCGGCTGGGGCTCAGGGGGACATACCTGGGAGGGGTGTGCCTGGGAGGTCCCTCTGGAATGCCCCGCTTCTTGGGGCCTGCGGGCCTGCTTCCCACTCCCCACCCCCCACTAACCCTAGTTGGAAGGGTGAACTTGGGCAGTCTCGGGGCCCGGGCCGGGGGTCACTTACGCCAGCTGGGAGTTCTTGTATTTCTGCATGACCCCTTGGAACAGGCCCTTGGGGGCCGAGGCGGGCGGGTTCTCGGGAGGCACAGTCGACCTGGAGGGTGCAGGGCAGGAGTGGAAGAGGAAAAAATACTCTGCATATGAGAAGCGGGTCATGGCCGGAGGCAGGATCAGGGATGGAGGGCTAGCGAGGGGACAGACTGATGGACAGACACAGGGCTCTGAACCAAAGCAGATGGCCGGTCCTCTCTGTGTGCTGGACACAGCTGCTGTGTTTCTGGATTATTTTTGGCCCTTGGAGGAAGCCCTGGGAGATTTAAATGACCATATAAGACAACAATGAGGTTAACCTCATCCCCACCCCCAGGCCCCCTCCCCAGCCAACCACGCGGGAGGCAGATAGGAAGCAAGGTGACATTCTTCTCCCGGGAGGATGCGAGAAGGGGTCAGCAGCAGGTCCCAGGATGAAAGGGGATCAGTCCTGGGCCGGCCAGGCTGGGTCCTAACGGGGATGGGCAAGAGGTTCTTGGAGGTGCGGGGGACAGGGGAGCATAACTGGGAAGCCAGACCAGGTCTGTACTCACACCCCCACCTGGCCAGGTCCCCGTTAGAGGGTCCTGCCATCCCAGGGGCAGGAACGAACGGTAGGGAAGTTAGAGCAAACGGCCGTCACGGCCAGGGCATGGAGTCAGACGGACACGGGTTCAAATCTAGGCTCTGGCATATCCTGGCCATTGGGACATCAGACAGGTTGAACTTTTCTGGGCTTTAGTTCCCTGTAGAGCCCGGTGTGGGAAGACCGAGGAGGCTGGAGCCGGTGAGCTCAGCTGGCGTCCGGGCACAGGGCTGCTCGGCACGCATCCACCGTTAATTGTCTCATTATTTTGCTTCTCTGAACCTCAGTTTCCCACCCCCTCGGGCTCTGGTGAGGATGGGAGGGTGAAAGGAGCTGTGGTGGCCACTCCACATAGCTGACTGTTGGGGGTGACTATGAGGACGGGGCTTGTGGCCCGTGCCGACCACACTCGTAGCAGCTCAGTCCCTGGTGCCACGGACACCCCAGCAGGCCTGGCCTGGTGTCCTGCACCCTGCAGGGGTGCCCCGTGGGATTGAGGGGGACATTGCTACCAGTGGTGTTTGGAGGTGCCAGAACTGTGACCCTGACAAGGACCCATGCTCTTCCAAGACGGAGCAGAACTTACAGATTTTGTGGATACCCTCAGCAAGGGCCGGGGCATGGGGGAAGGGGTGAGTGAGCAGAGAAGGAAAGAACATGCTCTCCTTTGCTTCAGCCATCTGGGGGCGGGGGGACCCCCCAGGCCGGCCCCCTTCACCATCCTCATCCTGCACTTGCCTTCCTCTGTCCCCTCTCCATCCCCTTGCGACCAGCAACCTCCTCCTGAGCACCACTAGCCTGAGCACCTGCGTGAGCTCACTCGTTAGTCCTCTAGAGTGGGTGCCAACGTCCCCGTCTTTAGAGACGGGGAAACTGAGGCCCCGAGAGGTGGGTCACGGCCCCGGGCTCACACACAGCTGCAGCTGGGAAGTGAGCCGAGCAGAGGCCTACATGTCTGTCTGCAGAGCTCCTGACGCCAGCCCTGCCCCACAGGCCTGGGGTCTTCCTGCCTCTTCATCCTCCCTCCCGCTCGAAGGCCTCCATTCTGACAGGCCCTGCGACTTAGAACAAGCCCCTGCCCCGCACTGTGCCTTGGTTTCCCCATTTGCAAGGTGCGCAGGGGGGACCAGAGCGGGGTTTTCCTCACCGTTGTGGTAGCTGTGAAGCCTTAGCTGAAATGAGCTCATGTGGGAGCTGCGTGTCAGGCAGATCTAAGAGACCACATCCTGGGGAGGGGGGCGCAAAGCCTGGCCCCGCCGAGGCCCCTCTCCACCCCCCGGAACGGGGAGCGTGCTGGGGGTGGTGGAAGGCAGCCTGGGCCAGGCCCAGCTCACAGTCCCTCGTCCCGTGGTCTTGACGAAGCCCTGGGTCTCAGGCCGCACAGGATCCTGGGGTCCCGGCCACCCGCGCCATGGCCCATGTGTGTGGCCTCCTGTCACTTACTGTTGTTAGGATGTTTCTAGCAAGGTGACAAGCACCCATAAAAACGCGTCACACTACCCTAAAACCAGGACTGTCTCTAATGGCCAAATAACAACAACAACAGGGTGCCAGCAAGGGTGGGGGGTGACAGACAGCAGTGGTGACGGGGATGTCCCTCCCCACCGTGCAGGGCATGGCCTCACTTCCAGCCTCCCCACCAGCTGGAGGCAGGCAGGGGCTGTGTTGTTCCCGCTTCGCGGAGGAGGAAGCAGACAGACCGAGTTCCGTGCAACAAGAGCTCCCGAGTCCCTGCTGGGGGAGTGGGGGTGTCCCAAGACTTGTGCTAGCGCCTGAGATGCAAATCTCAGATGTCCAAAGGCCAATGGGGTGGGAAACAAGGACACAGACAGCCATAGGCCGCAGGATAGGCGGTGGGGACAGAGCAAGGTCTCCCCTGGGCGCCCTGCAGTGGGTGTTAACTTGGCTTTAGGGGCAGGTAGGGCAGGTGCCCAGAGCCCTGAGTGTGGGGCCTCACGCTGGAGGGGGAGCGAATCCTAGTCCTGTCCAGGCCGCAGGCCCCACTCCCCCTCGGCCCTGAGCAGGGGCATTCCCAGCAGAGAAAACCACCGGGGCTGAGTCATCAGAGGTGAGAGGAACCTGGCAGGATGTGGGCGCGGGTCATGCCCTAGAAGAGGCCCAGGTAGGGCTCCGGTCCTTCATGTGGGCGGGCAGGTCTGGGGTGGGGGGTGTTGAGAGTGCATCACTGTCACCCAGCTCCCAACAGCCCTGTCCTGGAGTCCAGCTGGCCCCTACTCCAGACACGGGTCAAGCTCGGTGCCAGTGGGGAGTGGGGCTACGAGGACAAAGCCCCCTAACTTCTCAGTGAGCCGCCAGCCCCAGGAAGGGCATAAAATTGGGCTGGACCTGGCTGAACACCGGAAGCAAGCAGGCCTCTTAAAGGGGGAGACAGCTAAGGAATACAAGAGTCTGCCCCACGTCTGCCACCTTCTATTTGTCCCCTCCTCCTGTCCTCACGCTAAGCCTACAGCAATACAGGACTCAAGTATAGCACTGGGCACACAGCAGACACGCGATACACTTAAATAAATGAAACAAAACAAACAAAAGCCTTCCAAGGGGTAAGAGTCCAAATGGTAAACTCAGTTTTGTGCGGTGCCGTGGCAGGACCTCAAATTCCCGGAGAAGCAGCCCCCAGGCCTCCCAGGTGAAAAGAGGAAGAGCTCACGTGGTCCAGCCACCTCCACCCCCATTCCCGCGGGTCTCTGGAATCAGCCTCCCACCTGCTGGCCAAACCATTCTTTCTGGGCCAGCCAGAGAGGAGTCCCATGTAGAGGAGAACGTGAATTCCAGACTGCAGCAACTTCTGCTCCCCTTCCATACCTGGGATTTGTTGGGTGCTTGCCATGTGCCCAGCCTTGTGACAGAGGTACGCGGCACAAAGCATTTCCTTTCATCCTCTGGTCTACTCTGTGAAGGAGACATAATTGGCTCCCTTTTGCAGAAGAGGAAACTGAGGCTCAGAGGTTTGCTTCCTCTAACCTGCTTAGTGAACTCCTGTTCATCCTGCACAGCCCACCTGCTCAACTAAGTGAATCGACCTGCTCTGTGTCCCTCTGAAACTGAGGCAAGCCTCTTTGCTGAGCCCTTCCTGTTGGGTCATTATGTACATCTGGGACCCTCGTTAGACAGCAAACTTGGGGAGGGTAAGGGTAAGCCTGATTCACATCCAGGTGCCAGGAAGGCAACTTGCTCATCATAAGAACATGGTAGGTGTGGGCGGCTCAACTTGAATTATTTGCAGCTGTGCACACATCAACCCAAACAAGTCCCTCCTTCATGCTTTCCTCCTTTGTCTTCTTAGAAATGTAACCTTAAAAAAATTCAGAAGTTTAAAGACTGGGAAGACCCAGCTTTCTGGGCCCACTCTGGCTGGTCCGCCATCAGTGCAATCTTGGGCTCCCTATTTCCTGACTGCATGAACCCTCCTTCTCCATGGGATGGGAAATTGGGTCTGCCTTTCAGGGAGCTCTCTGTTAGTGGGCCAAGGCTTGGCAGATGATCCCTATGCATGTTTCCGGCTTCATCTCTTACATTGTGGTGGGAGAGAAGCAAGTTGGAAAAAATGGCTTTAGAAGGGCACATTATATTTCCTCTGGGATGCTGATCTGGCTTTCATGTCCAGGATCCCCAAGGCTCAGTGGACCTTTATGTCTACAGCCGCCATTTTGGTCACAAGATAACAATAAATTATATTTGTAGAGCATTTTATTGGTTTCAAAATGCATTTATTTGCCTAAAAGCAATTCTTGGGCACCTACAGTGATCCAGGCTCTTTGCCAGGCACTAGGGATATAAAAGTGAGAAATATCTGCTTCCTGTCCCCAAAGAGCTCATATAGTATAGTTGGGGACCCTCTCAAGAGGCCAAATAATGCCTTCCTAGAGTGACACGAAAGCTTGTCCATGAAACAGAGGCAGTCATGGTGTGGGCACTCAGGGTGCTCAGGGAGGAGGTAGGGGGAGGTCGATTGAAGCTGTGGGGCGTGAGGGAAGCACCAGCATTCTACATGCTTTGCGTAAGAACACTGCAAGCTGGGCTAGGCAAGGTTCTGTTGTTGCCACTTTAAGGATAAGCCTGTTGGGGCTCAGAAAGGTTAAGTAACTTGCCTGAGGTCACACAGCCAGTAAGTGACAGAGGAAGGACTCAAACCTCCAGGCCCTCTTCTCTTTCCTCTCTACTCTGCTGCCTCTTCATTCACATTCCTTTATTCACTCATTATTCACTCACTGAGCTATTTCGTGTTTGCCGAGGGCCAAGCGCTGTGTGGTAGACGGGAAGCTTCACAGGAAGGAAGATGGGTGAGGCCTCAAAACAAATACATAGAAACTGTAAGCTGGGGTGATGAAGGAAACTGCCCCGCCAAGAGAGCGAAAGGGGCGACCTGCCTGACCTGGGATGGTGGTCAGGCAGGATTTGCTGAGGAGGTGACATGAAATCTAAGACGGCCCCTGGGATGTGTATGATGTCCTGTTCCTAAACCTGCTCTGGGTCTTTGGATGGAAACTGTGATATGTGGGGATAAAAGGGACAAAGGACTGTATCGGGTCCTGTACTTTCTGAAATGCCGCATCTGGGAACGTGAGCACGAGCTGGTGTGTCTCTTGTCGCTGGGGACCCTCAATCTCTGTGGCTACAAGGTGGCTGAAATGAGACCCAAACCCACTTCCACGTGGAGGGGGGAGAGGAACAGAAAGAGACCTTTGCACTATGGGCAGAGCCGGTTATGTGTCTGAACTTCAGAGCCGGGGGCAGACATGGCTTCTGTTTCTGGCCCCGTGGAGTGCACGTGCATAAAACGGGCACAGAAATGGCCTCGTTGCGTGGCTTAAGGATTAATTGAGTGGCTGTGTGCTGGGCATATGGGAAGCCCTCAGTGTGCATCTGGGGGAGGAGGGATCGGCTCCCCCAGCAGGGCCCATCTTCTTCCAGAGATGGAAGGGCAGAACTGAATCGGGGAGGTTTCAGCTCACATCCAGAGTGAGAAGATGCGCGTTGAACCCCGTACCCTACATTACTTGTGCCTGGAATTTAGGTGAGGGCTGCACGACTCTAGGTAAGTCATTTTCCTTCTCTGTGAGAGCTTTTTTCTCAGGAGGCTGGTAAGTGTTTGCATCCCATGTTGGGTCTCTACTTCCTCACCCACCAAAGGAAGGAAGAGGTCAGGACCCGGATCTCACGAGCCCAACTCGGTGTTAATGTAAGTGTCCCCAGGACTCCCCGGGAGGCTCCCACACTGGGGAGAAGGCTGCAGATGCCCCAGGGTGGGGGGGATGCTCTTCTCTCTATCTGATCTCCTCCTGAGAAAGAGGAACTTGTGGTCTGACTGAGGCTGAAGCAGCCAGAAGAGGAACCAGGGCCTCCCAGAGCACCGGCCATGAAGAGTCCTTGGCTCTGCATCCTCGCTTCTGTTTCTCAGGCTGGGTTCCAGAATGGGACCCCCTCAGGGACAACTCAGTAACCTGGAGCCTTCCTACTTCCTCCAGCTGCCCAAGGAGGCTACCTGCCTTCCCTTTTAGAAGAGGCTCCTCGGTGTGGGGCATCCCAGGCTTTTGCCCCGTCTGCCTGGCAGAGGAGGCCCAGCCTCAGCAAGGGTTAAAGTCACTTGGGGAACGCCCGGTGGGTATCATCAGGGGACAGGGCTGGGATGCACAGCCACCCACCTTCATCACTGTCAGCTGGGACTGGACATTAGAGATGGTCTGTGTGTTGCCGAGAGAGCTTAAGGGACTTGCCCAAGGCCACAAAGCAAGTCAGCTGGTGGCTGGAGACGATGAGAGTTGAGGCCCAGGTCCCAAGGCCACAGAACACACTCATCCAGCAACTCCCTTCCCTCAGCCACCCACCCCCAAATACATACTTGACTTGGACTCAGTGATGAACAAAAGCATTTTTAGATGTATATATTTCCTTTCTAAAAGCATTTTAAGATCCAATGCTTAATTACCTCTCTGGGCTCCCGCCTCCTACACAGAAGGTACCCTCTGGATCTGCGCTGTCCAGGACGGTAGCCACCGGCCACATGTGGCTAGTGAGCTGTTGAGATGCGTCTAGTCTGAACTGAGATGTTCTGTGAGTGCAGAATACACACTGGATTCCAAAGACTTGATATTGATGACATGTGGAAATAACAATATTTGAGACCTAAATTAATTTCACCTGTTTGCCTTTACTTGTTAGCGTGGCTCTTAGGATATCCAAAATTGCATATGTTACTGAAGGTGTGGCTTGCGTCCTATTTCTCTGGGCACAACACAGGGCTGCCCTAGGTGGTCCTGCCACTGGCATGATGAGGTCACGCTGAGATGCGGGAGCCAGAGCGAGGAGGTAGGGTGGCTTTGCTGGGCAGATGTCACTTGCTTCTCAGACCTGTTATCCCAGGGAGGCTGCCTAGATGGGACTGGGAGCTCTGCTTGGACTCGGAACATCAGCTCCCCGGCATTCAAACATAAAGCCAGTGGTACAAAGCCAAGCCATGCACTTTGCAACCAGATCGTTCCAATCTCTGCAACACCGTCTACCAGCTGTGCAACCGCCGACTAGTTACTAGCCCTGAGCTTCAGTTTCCTCGTCTATAAAATGGGAATATAGCACAGAGCCTCCTGGAAGGTCCTCAAGAGGGTTAAACAAGGTGAAGTGGGTAGAGCACCTACCGCAGTGCTCGGCACCACCAGAGCTCAGAAGGGTTTAGATAACAAATGTAAGTCATCAAGGTGTAAAAATGCACCTCACAGACCAGGAGACTTTGGTCTTGGGTTAACAGTGTTTGGGAGCTGCACCTTACAGGTGCTCTAGTTGGCCTCTCCTCGCTCACCTGGTCCATGGGTAGAAATGGGCAGGTTGGCGGTTGACACACGTGGACGCAGTGGCCTCAGCAGTGGTTGGGCCCCGAGTCTTGTCAGCCAGGCTCTGCTCGATGGCCATCTGGACCAGCTCATCCTCACTCAGGCTGCTATACAGGCTGTATTCCTCATGCCCAATGGCACGCTGTCTGCCCCGAGCGCTGATCTCTGTGGTCATCCTCTCTCACCTCTCACCTTGGCCCCCAGAAGAGACACTCTGAGAGGAGGAGGAAGTGGCAAATCAGAAAGCCCTGTGAGGAGACCAAAACCATCCTGGTCACTAACAGTTTTGCAAGAGTTATGTTTAGCAACAGAGAATACTGTGCTTTCCTCTGGCAAGCTCACAATCAGTTTTTATCCATTCATGTTGTCATTTGGACCACCCAGCCACCATTCATCTACACATCTATCCATCCACTCATCTACTCACCAATCTACCCACCTCTCTCACTATCCAGCCAATCATTCACCCTCCTCTCCATTTATTCATTCTCCCATGTGTCCACCTGTCTACTATCCACCCATTTACCCATCCACATCTGTCCATTTACCCAGTGACCTGATCATCCATCCATCCAACCATTATCCATCCCCTGATCTATCTGCCCACCTACCTGGCCATTTATCCATTCACCCCCCCATCCATCCATCCATCCATCCATCCATCCATCCATACCTCTATCTACCCAACCAACCATCCACTCATCCACCACTCATTTTTCCATTCCAGACAGCTTGTCTACACATGCATGCATGCTTCGTTAACCGAGAGATTACTTAGTGAGCGCCTACTTTGTGTCCTGCACTCCTCTAAGCTCTGGTGACACAACAATACCAAGGGACAAATATCCCTGACTTCAGGGGGCTTACACAACAGTGCTTACATTCCTTCCTTCCAGTTATCCAACAAGATCCTATGCCAGCATCTCGCCTTATCTCTGTGCTGTGCTAGGGCTGAGAATGTTGGAGATAAATCAGACATGGGCCTGCCACTTCAGTATGCATGATCTAGTTAAAATCAATCATGACAGTAATTTGCCATGTGAATTCCAAGGACTCCCTTCCTTAGAAAAAAGTGCCTCAGGGAGAAATGAACTTTGGTTGAATCAACTGGTTTTAGGAAATGAAGTAACCTCAACTAAGCCTGTTTTTTGTTTTGACTGGCTGACGTGCAGTGTAACTGTAGGTCAATGGTTCATAGCCCTAGCAGGACATGAGAACCACATGAGGCCATTTAAAAAATACCCAAAATACCAGTGCTATAATTTGGTTTGTTTGGCAAATATTCACTCCCCTCTCCTTGGCAGCAGGGTATCCCCCTCCCTATCCCACTGAGAGTGGGCTTGGCCATGTGACTTGCTCTGGCCAATGAACGTTGGGGCACGATAAAGCAGCCCCTTAACAGGGGCTTGGGTGTGGGGCTTGCCCTTCTGCATCACCAGGAGAAGAGCTCCCCACTGGAGGCACCACCCGTTAGCTAGACCCCAGAGTGAACCGACCTGGGGCAGCCCCACCCAGCAGACCCAGCACCCTGAAGCCTACGTCAGCCCCTCTGCAGCGACCTGCAGACTCAGATCATGAGAATCAGTGCTTATTTGGGGTGCTGTGCTACTCAGCATTCTTGTGGCTCTAGTTAACTGACCCCCAAAAGGCTAGGCCAGCCACTTCACAAAGAGGATATCCAAGTGGCCAATAACCAAATGTAGGGATGCTTGACTTTCTAAGCGTTTGCGAGAACACTCAAATTGAGATCCTAATACAGTATTACTGTCTACCCAACAGCATAGCTCAAGTGGAGGGGCGCCTGGGTAGCTCAGTCAGTTAAGCGTCTGACTCTTGATTTTGGCTCAAGTCATGATCTCGGGATCATGAAACTGAGCCCCGCATTGGGCCCCTGCCTGGGCGTGGCGCCTGCCTGAGATTCTCTTTCACCCTCTCCCTCTGCCCCTCCCCCGCCCCACTTGCACACACTCTCTCTCTCTCAAAAAAAAGAATGGCTCAAGTGGAAAAGATGAGCATTAGCAAGTGTTGGGGAGGATGTAGGGCATCAGGAATGCTCACCACCACTGGTAGGAGTGTCGAGTGGTAAAACCACTTTGGAAAATTTACGGTGTTTGCTAAAGCTGAACCAACACATCCTGTGACCCCAAAATTCCACTCCTAGCTCCCTGGCCAAGAGAACCATGTACATGTGTTCACCATAAGACAAGTTCAAAAATATTCATTGCAGCGCTACTCATGATAAAACCAAGTGGAAACTACCCAAATGTCTATCAGCATTTGAATGGATTACTGCGTTGTGGTATATTCCCACGGTAGTGTATACCAGTGAAACAGATAAAGTACCACTGCTCATCGCAGGATGAAGCTCACACAACCATAGTGAGCAAAAGAAGTCAGATAATGAAGAACATATGTACATGATTCCATTTCTGTAAAGTTCCAGGCAGACTAAACTATGGTGGACCTTTGGTGGTTACTAACTGGGAGGAGACATGAGGGAGACTTCTGGGAAGCCAGTCACGCTGTTTTTCTTGATCTAAGTGGTTCCATGATTGGTTGGCTCCCTTTGTCAGGAACCTCTTCAAGTATGATTTCTACACTCCTCTGTGAGCCCATTATCCTGCAATAACACATCTACTTAAAAGGTAGGGGCACCTGGCTGGCTCTGTCAGAAGAGCAAGTGACTCTTGATCTCCGGGTTGTGAGTTCAAGCCCCACGTTGGGTGTGGTGCCTACATAAAAAGAAGAAGAAGAATTTTAAAAAGAAAAATAATAATTAAAAAGTGTATAAAATAGGTTCTAAAGGGTATTGATGCTTGGACCCCGCCTCAGACCAATTAAGTCAGAATCTCTGGGAGTGTGGCCCAGCTATTACCCCTCTTTGAAAAGCTCCACAGGTGCCCGGGAACCACCACTTTGGAGAAGGATCAATCATAAAGCAGGAGTAGAGAGAGATGGGACTCCTGTTGTGTGGGGGTGGGGCAAGGGGCGCGACCTGACACCAGGCTAAGCCCTTGATAGATACTCTTCTAATTCTGGTAACAGTCCTAAGAGCAGCAAGTCTTGCTCTATAAAATAGCGGCAAGGTTATTATTAAGCAGATCTGGGCTTTCCAAGCAAAGCTAGAGGAGACAGTGGGTGTGAAGACAGTGGATTAGCAGCACAAGGGCGTCTGGGACCGAAGATTCTGTGCCCTGCCACGGTCTGCCTGGTTATCCATCACTGCCCTCTGTCTGCTTCTCTGCACCCATTCTGGCGGGCTCAGGTCCGGACTTCCTCCCGCCCACCCCAGCGGTGGCCTTCATGTGGTGTCCCAGCCCCACCCACCCATCATCCCCTCCGTGCCCCACACCGCAGGCCTCACCAAGTCCCTCCTCTACCTGCACCCATGGCCCAGGCCTCCCAGCCCTTCAAATCTAGCTCTCACTCTCCCTTCAGCCTCTACCTCCGCACACCTGATCTTCCAGGTAAGGCGAAGACACACTTTTCCCCCAACCCACCTGCGGCTCCCACCCCAGTGCTCTTGCTCGTCCTGTGCCAACCCGTCTCCTCCCTTTCTACACTCTCAGAATCCCTCCTCACTCCTCAAGGCCCAGAGCAAGTGCCTCCTCTTCCAGAACGTCTTCCAAGAAGTGTTCTGCTGCTACAACTTCTCCATCTGGGCTGTGGTCAGTAGTTCCTGTGTGGACTTGACCCTGGGTCCTCTTCCTAAGGCCATGAGAGGAGAAGGGCTGGTTAAAGTTTACTGCACCCCTTGACCGCCCACCCAACAGCCGGTTCCCCCATCTTCTCTGACAGCAGAACAACTGTCCTAATGAAAGAGAGAGCAGTGAAGAGAATCACTCCTTGTCCACATCCCTGCTTTGAGCTTGGAGGAGTGGATGCTTGGCACAGGGGCAGCCATCTTGTAACCATGAGGGGAACAGTGCTGGTACAATGAGTTTGACAGAGTGAATGATAGGTCTTCTGGATCTTTTATTATATTGTTGATCTGCTGAACTAACGCTGGTGCACCCACCCTGGCCTGCTTATTAGGTAGAGACTGAAGATCCTTCTGGTTTAAGCCAGTGTTGGTTGAGTTTGCTGTTATATGCAGTCAGAATCATCTTAATGCCTCATTCTCAGGTCTGGTCAAGAATCTTGAGAACATACCAAGGCCCTGATCTCACCCTAGACCGATGGACTCAAAGCCTCCAGGTTTCCCTGGAGTTCAAGGCTTCCCTGTCAATTTTAGTGTGTAGCCAGGGCTGAGAACGCTTTTCTAGAGCAACACGTCAGGCGGTCATGCTCGTTTTCCACACTAGGGGAGGGGAAGGGGCACCGTGACCTCAGAATCACTTGGTGCCTGATTGGAGTGTTATTTGTTTTTGCAGCAACTTCAGCATTAGTTTTGTTTATTGTAAAAAGAGCCGAAGACTGGGAATCAGGAGACTTCGGTTCGTGTACCAACTCACCATGAGCACCTCTCTTCCTCTCTTGAGCTTCGATTTTTCCATCTGTTAAATGTCAGGATGGCCTAGAGCACAGCCTCTGACCCTCCCACCCCGTAGGGGCCCAGCTGGCCCAGGCCCCCTTCCCTGCTCCCCTGTGCCTGAGGTCTGGGTGGGCCCAGGCCGGCCTTCAGGAGGGTGGGGAGTGGGCTCTGCCCAGTGAGAGGTGACACGCTCGGCTTTCCCAGGGCCCCCATTGTGGTGCCCCCATTTGAGGGCATCTGCTCCAGGCCAGAGGCAAGGGGAAGAACACTGGAGAGAGACAGAGACCTGGGTTATGGTCTCCATGTTGACACTAGAGTGCTGTGTGACCTTGGCCAAGTCCTTATCCCTCTCTGGGCCTCAGTTGTCCCCTTGCAAAAAGAGAGTTTTGGGTTTCCAAGTGCTCTTCTGGTTTTTTAGCCTCTATAACTCTGTGAGACATTTGGTTTATCTTTGTGCTATATAAAACCCAAACTCTCTGTCCCTGAGAGTCCCCTCTGGCCACCTTAAGAGGTCTACCATATGCAAAGGGCTTAGCGTTAGTCATAGGGAAATAAGGAACCAGGTGGGAGTAGAAGGGTCTCAGGTCCAGATGTTGGGAGCCTACGGTCTAGTTTCAATTTGGAACTTACGAGCTACGTGACCTTGATTAAATCACTTCCCCTTGTTGGGCCTTAGTTCCTTTATCAGTAAAAATGGGAGTGAGACAAACCACTTCACCATGTTGTAGAGGCCATCCGTGGCTGGGGCAGTGGCTGCATAAGAGGTAAAGTAAGCATTTGACAGGAACCCCTCCCACCCCTCACCGCCAGGCAGCCATGGGCCCAGCAGGCTGGCATGGGCTGATCAGAGGCGTATGGACAGCACCGGGCTACCTTGCCCCTTCCCTGACCAGATGCCTGTGGGAGGAGCCAGGTCGCAGTCACCTGGACCTGCCAGTTTCCTGCAGCCAGTTCCAGACTCACCAGGCCCTCCTCCGCGGGTCTGGCGGCATCCAGAGACTTTCCTGCCTAACGGTCATTTCATGGCATGGCCCTGACAACAGCTTGAGAAAGTAGGAACGTTTTCCTGTTGAACTGACATTAATTCTTCTATACCGCCACTCCTTCTGAAAGTACCTGATGCCCCGATGTGATTGCTCCCCATTTTACAGATGAGGCAATTAAGGTTCAAGGAGGGGAAGGGAAAGGTTTGCACAAGGACAGAGGGCTGGAACACTGGGATCTGGAGCCCCAGTGCTCCTCCTGGGAATTCCAGGAACACAATCCAAGTAACTGGCACACACCTGGGCTCTGAGCAGGCAGGGGTAACATCACCATCCTCAACCAGCCTGGCCACCTGACCTGCTTCTGTGCATGGAGCCCACATCAGGCTGTTGGCCGTCCCAGAGGAAGGTGCACACCGACAGGTGAGGGGGGTGGTGACCTTGAAGGGACCCTGACGGAGAGGGTCTCTGCCTTGGAGAGGGCGAACTTCCCCACGCTGCTGTGAGCCCAGACGTCTCTTGCTTTTCCCACTGAGATCCTCAGCCTTTGAGGGTCCTTGGATAAGTCATGTATCTTTAGTTCCCACATGTGCAAAATGGAGATACCAGTAAGTACTATCGAGGGGTTGGTGTGAGAATCAAGGGCTCAGGCACGCCTGCCAGGGACATGGGGGTTGGGGGACCGTCTCCTGGGGGTGGTGGCTGGGGCTGTTCGGTCTCAGCCTGAGGGGCAGTTATAAAGCAGCTCGTGGGGTCAGCTTGACCAGGTTCAAGCCACAGCTTTGCCAGTTACTCGCTGTGTGATCTCCTAGAATCTCAAATTGTCCATCTATTAAATGGACATAGTAAGATTGCCTATATCATGTGAGAGGGAGGAGTGGTGATCCTGGGAGAGAAACTGCTTCTTTCAGCCTCAGTCTCCCTCCTCTGCACGCTGCCTAGCTTGATTTCTGAGGCCTCTGCCTGGGGCTGGGCCACCTTCTAGGCCTGAGTCCCGGAGAGAGAGAGCAGGGGGCAGCCAGCAGTCCCAAGGGACCCTTTGGGAGGCTGATTGGGATAGAAAAAAAATAGCCCTTTCCCAGAGAAAGCCGGAGGCTTTGCCCAGGCAAGTGAGGGGCCTGCAGGGGGAGCAGAGTTCAAGGGCGGCCAGTCCAAGGCCAGCTTGGAACCCCTGGGGCCTCCAGAGGCTCCTCCCTTACCCCCTTTGCAGTGCCCCAAACATTGCCTCCAGGGGAACCCTCCCCCCAGGAGGCATCTGTAAAATGGGACAACAGTGACTGTGACCATTCTTTGAGTTAGCACATGCAAAGCACTCAGAGCAGTACCCGGTCCATCTGTAGTCAATGCTCCTCTAAGCTGGGCCTCAGTTTCTACATCTGTGAAATGGGCATAGAAACATGGCTCTTTCAGGGCTGTGCTGAGGATTAGCATTGGAAAAGTGGCTTCTCCCCCCCTCCCCAAGTTCTTTCCCTCCCCACAAGTCCCAGCTGGCTGACAGCCAGGGTCTGCCTGGGAAATGGCAGTGAGGTCTGGGCTCCTGTGCGTGGGGTGGGGTCTCTGGGGCTGTTTGGGGGGTTACAGTGGGAGGAGTGGCTCCTGGAATGTCTTACTGGAAAACTGATGGTGGGGCATGACCAGGAAGGCAAGGGACAAGGAGGAGGACTGACAGCCATCCTCCGGCACACCAGGCTCCCCTTCAGCTGGGGACCTGGGAGAGGAGTGTGAGCCTGGACAATCTCCTTCCGTCCTCAGGCTGTTTGTAGATGGAGCCCTGCTCACCCACCTTCCCGTCCCTCTTGCCTGTCACCTGGCTAGTCATTCTTCCAGATGCAGTTCAAGCATCTCCTCCACCAGGAAGCCCCCCGATCTGATGTCAGAGGCATCCTGAGCTCCGTCCATTGCTCTAACAGCCTGCTCTGGACCTATCCTCCCACTGAATATAGGAACTTCTAAATTGCAGGACTGTGTCACATTCGTGTCATGACCCCAGGACATAGCCCAAGGCCAGATACACAGTAGGTATGTATGAAATGCTGGCTGAATGAATGAATGAATGAATGAATGAGTCCAACCTTGGAAGCACAGCTATTATCGAGAAGATTACCGTGCCTGGCAGGTGGGGCAGCCGCTGGCGTCCCACTGCCTGGGTTCGACCCTGGCTCTGCCCCCTACTGGCTGGGCGATGGGGAGCTGGTTACTCCCACCCCAGGCTGTCCTGGGGGGCCCCCTGGGACCCCTGCAGAGCCCTGCTGAGTGGGCGCAGGGGCCAGTAATGGGGTCAGCGCCGGGGAGGGAGGGAGGTCTCCAGGCGCTCCCCAAAGCAGCTGGGGTGCAGGATGGATTCTGCCCACTAATTCCACATCCTCCACTCCCCAGGGCCCCTCCTGCCCCCTCCTCCCTTCCTGCTCACACCACCTGCTGTCCTCCGGGCTTTGGAAGGAGTTACAACCCCTCCACTCTCCTCTCAGTCCCGGGCTTGAGTTTATGAATGAGGGGGCCACCTACAAATGACGGTTGTGGGTACTTAGTGAGCACTTAGTTCATTTACCAGTGCCGGCCATGCGGTAGGTGCCAAGTAAGTATTCCAGTTAGGGTCACATGTGACTCTCAGGTGTGAGAGGGGAGCACGGACCATTCAGTTTAGCTCTTACACGATGCACCGTCGTCAGACCCGTCTGTCACCACAGATCACAGTGGGTGTTTGCCAAACACCATACCGCCTTCCCTTGTGGTTCATTTATGGTCTCACATGTGTTGTTAGTTTGAGCCACGAGATAAATCTGTGGTAAGCTATTGGTCCCATTCTACAGATGAGGAAACCGAGGCACACCAGGGAAAAACTGACAAGGAAGAGACTAGAGGCTGCCGCGTCTGACTTGACCCTTGTCTTCACCCCGTGTAACTAACAGCAGGGGCCTGTGGTTCTGTGGGTTTGAGGAGAGGCCCGGAGTCCCACTGGAGACAGAGGGTGTGTGTTCAGAAGGACTTGGTGTATATGGGCATTTGGGGATACGGGCGCATCTGCCTTACATCTATATATGTAATATGCGCTCCACCCATCTGCCACCTTCAAACAGTTCCCCTCTCTCCTCGGCCCCAGGCAACCCTGACAGCCAGCTGCAAGTGGGGACTCGGCCCCCAGGGTCCTCAACCCTACTCCTTGCAGTGCTCAATACCTTCTGTCAAAACTTCTCTCTCTGATCTGCTGTTCCCCCAGGCTGCAGAGGGTCCCGGAAAATCTATGGAAACTCTTCCAGCTTGAGGGCTTGTGGCTGTGAACAATTAAAATGTTCTCTCCCCTTCCTGGGTCCTACTGCTTTAAAAATCCCGATCATGGGGCGGGCCTGGGTGGCTCAGTTGAGCGTCTGCCCTCGGCTCAGGTCATGATCTTAGGGTCCTGGGATTGAGCCCCGCATCGGGCTCCCTGCTCAGCGGGAAGCCTGCTGCTCCCTCTGCCTCTGCCTCTCCCCCGCTCGTGCTCTCTCGCTCTCAAATAAATAAATAAAATTTAAAAATAAATAAATAAGTAAAAATAAATAAAATCCCAATCATAAAAACAGCTGGTGCTTGTGGTTTTTTTCATGCCCTGCACCCTTTGACCCTCTCAGTACCTGGTGTGGGTGGGGTAGGACTCTTCCCATTGTGCGGATGGGAAGACTGAGTTGTAACTGGCACAGTGGCTTGAGAACGGGCCTGCCTGCCCCTCTTTTCTTTGAACCCTCTGACAATGAGTATTCAGGGCAGCGGCCAGGGGTCACTCACTCTGGAAGTTTCTGCCCTGGGTAAGAGGTGAGCAGCCTTGAGGAGATGCGGGGTGGAATCCAGGCCACCTTGCTTGCCGCCTCCCCAACCCCCGGAGGGGCTCAGGTCAAAGCCCCATGGTGGGTATTTGCTGTGGGGTGGTGCTGACAGGCCTCACAGCTGCTGGGAGTTCGGGCCTTTTGTTCAGACGCTAAAGATTCTAAGAAGGCCCCCCCAACTCTGCTAATCCCAGAGCCCTTGCTGCCGGTTTCAAGCTCCTGGCTTTCCTCAGGCCCGAGTCCGGCTTCCCAGGTCGGGCCAGGATTGCTGGAAGTTACTGAGGGGAACTGCTCCCTGTAGCACACTTAAACCAACCCACCCCCAACACAGGCGCTCTCCCCATCGTATGGAGGGGCAGCTGAGGCCCCCCGGGAGAGGGGTCGGGACTGGCCTCGGTCACCCAGGTGGGACTCTGCCCAATGGATGGGTCGGGGAGACTGAGGCTCCATCTGAAGGGGAGGTGAGTGCGCCTTGCTGACCTGAACCCGTGTGAATCGCTCCCAGCGGTCCAGGGACCCCCGCAGCAAGCCTTTGCCTCAGCCTCCCAAACGGGGGGCTCTTCTCTCACCTCCTGCACAGCCCGGCCCTCCACACCCCTCCTGGCCCATCTCCCTGTCCTTCTCCTGCGGCAGCCAGGCCCCTCAGCGGGGCTCAGCCACCTATAGGTCTAGGTGCCGGATTCCAGGCCCCGACCCAGTTTCTGCCCAAGGCTCAGAGAATGCCGGGCTCTGCACTGGCGTGGGCAGCCTGGGTTAGGGGTGAGAGGGGCAGGGCTTCTGGTGCGGCTCTGAGCCTCTGCAGCCCAAGCGCAGCCTTGCCCAGCCCTGTCCTGGGCACCGGGAGAGTGTGGCCCCTGGGGAGCAGGAGGTTCTGGAAGCTCTAACTCCAGGCCGCATGGTGGGAAGGTGCAGTGGGGACAAGAGGGCCCTCCGAGCCCTGCTCCTCTCACCTGGGCCCAACCGCAGGGCTGGCTGGAAATCTTTAAATTGGGATCCCACCAAAATCTTTTTCCTTTCTGTTTTTTCCCTCCTCTCCTGCCTTTATTTCAATCTTCTCCACCTCTTGGCTTGCCCTGCGTTTCCTCGCTCTTTGTCTACCCCTCTGCTTTGTGTCCCTTTCTTTAAAAAATCAAGCAAACTAGGAGTCAGTTCACTTTGACGTCACCACCCCCTCTCCGAAACCTCTCCCTCAGCTGCAAAGCTCTTAAGGCTTCCTTGATATTCCTGGGTATTCATTAGTCCAAGAGAAGGTGCTAAGGATAAAAACGATACAAACCGGTCCTGGAACAACCATCTCCTCTGGGCAGTCTGACCCTCTGTGGCTCAGAAATGGGAGGACACTGGGCGGGTCCAGAGATATTTTTGTGCCTCCTTCGGGAAAACACTCTTGGATCTAGCCTGTCCACAATGTACGGGAACCTTGTTACATACACCCCGACTGTGCCAGGGACGGGTCTGTTTACTGCTGTGCTGGGCCCCAGGGAGGCCATGGCGTTGAATGTGGACACTAGAGGCCAAGAGGCCAGGATGGGATCCCCGACTCCAACACACCCTAGCTGTCTGGCTCCAGGCAAAACCCTGAACCTCTCCGAAACTCAGTTTTCCCATCTGGCAAATGGGAGTAACCATCACCTCTAAGTCAGGATGCCCTTGAGAAGAGTCAATAAGAGAAATCACCTGAAGCCCTGGGCCAGTGCCTGGCTCACAGTCAGTGCTCCGTGAACGCCCACGGATATCAATCGCTGTGTTATTCATTGTAAGGTCCCCGGGGGCGGAGGATCCCGGGCACTCACAGCCGGTCTGTTTGTGCAAGAATGGATGATGCAAATGAGAACAGCACCAGGTGGGGGCCGATGCCAGCTCCCGGAGGAGGCTGAGCTGTAAACAGGCCCGCCACCAGCTGTCGGGACCCATCCAACTGTTTTGGAAGGGACGGGAGCATCTGCCTCATCCCTGTATTCTGCCCCCCTCCCGGACGTGCCCCCCCGCCTCGCCCCCGGCCTCCGCTGCAGAGGGCAGGGACTGTGGCTGCTAGGCTGGCCCCAGCTGCCTCTGCCTGGGCCCCAGAGCTGTCCCCACCCCTGCCTCACGCCCCTTGAGTTTTCCTTCCTTGAGGAAAGCCTTGCTGTCCTTCCTGTGTGGGGGGCTTGGCCTCTGGCCTGCCCCGTGTCTCCGTCACTTACCTGGCCTCCCTACTTGCGCCGCCTCTCTTCCCCCTCATTCCAGGCCATTCCCCTGGCTACTGAGGAGCTACCTGAAATCAGATCCCACCTGCACCCCCTTTGCTCAAAAACAATCGGAAAATATTCCATCCTCTTGCCTGCCCTGGTGGGAGCTGCGTCTCTCTCTGGCTTCCCTCTCCTCCCCGCCAGTTTTGTCCCCTTCGTGGCCCTTTGCTGTAGCCACTCTGCATTTCCCACCGACACCCCCGACCCACCCTGACGTGTCTGTCGCCCTTTGCCGGAGCGGCCCCTCTGCCTGGAGGTCCCTCTCCCTGTCCCTCTGCCTGGTGACATCCACCCAGCTTTTTAAAAGCTATCTCGTCCCTGGATATGTCCTCATGCTCATACACGCACACGCACACACGCTCACACGAGGTACTCTTGCATCTCGGCAATCCCACGGTGCTCTGTTAAATCTCATGGAACATCTCATTCTTTACATTGTGTCACAGTCTCTGTTTGCAGATTGGGCGTCCCCCCACCCCCCCGAGCCCCAAGCAGTTGCAGGTACAGCCCCTGGCAGCTGACTTCTATCACCCCACGAAACTGTGCACACAGAGGCACTCCCTAAATGCCACGGGACATCGATGCCCACGGGCATAAACATAGCTATCTGGCCACCTGACCTAAAAGCCTTTCTGAAAGCCGTCTGTCCCCCACAGATACTGCCCTAGGTCCACGGCACCCACAATAGCACCACTGATAATCCCATTCCATTTCCATGTTTAGAAGTGCACAGCAGAGTGATATTCTGAGTGAGCGTCCTCCAGCAGAATGCATAAGTGCATGCATAGGGCTGATTCTCTGTCCCCCAGGTCCAAAGTGAAAGTCCCCAGCATACTTTCTACACAAGAGACAGGAGAGAGAGACGCAAGCAAGGAGTCTTGATAATAAGGAGTCACCAACAAGCAATGCAGTGGTTAAGTCCCAGCCAAACAATCTTTCTTGAAGTCTGTGTAAGAAAGTCGAAAGCATGCATTACCTGTTAGGCTCTGAAACAGGGGCACACAATGCAGGGGTACTAAAAGGTGTTTTCTTGAGGGTGTCTTAATTCAGAACATGCTCCCTGAGTTTTCCTTCTGCCCTGGCCCTGAGCTCCTGGCCGCTCTGCCAGGCAGTTCTGAAACGCTTTCCTTTGAAGCAGGGAGTTTATTTCAGGCCCACCGCATGACCAGTGATGGCCAGCCAAACTATAAGATGTTGTGCATCTCAGATGTCCTATTTGAAGATCGCCCGGAGGAGGCCGCCCTGCCGCCTTCCGTCCCTCCACGGTGCGTCAATTACGGACCTCGCGGCAGAGAGCATCTCGGAGAGCTGGCCCTCACGTGACGTCGTCATTTGTGATCCTTGACATGGAGGCCATATATGGGTATGTTTCTGGAACTCCCCAGGAGGGAGCGAGAGAGAAGAGAGATAGGGAGGGTGAGAGACAGAGAGAGAGGGAAAAAGGGTGGGGAGCCAGAGCTGGGAGATTAGAAGACGGGGGGGGGGGGGGGGGACACTAGGGGACAGGAGAAGGGAGGGAAGTGCAAAAAGGTGATGGAGAGGAAGAAGGAAAGGAAGAGGTGCAGGAGGAGAGGGGAGAAGGCATACATGAGAAGAGAAAGAAGAATTGGGGAAAACAGAGAAGCAAGGGGAGAGGGACACTGAGATAATCCGGGGATGAAAAGGGGAGCGTGGAAGACAGAGGAGCAAGAGGGAGAGAGCAGCGGGGGACTCGGGGACAGAAGGGGGAGCAGAGGGGAAGGTGGGGGAGGCAGGGAGGCTGGGAAGAGGGCAGGGAGAAGGGTGGATGGAGGGAAGGCGGGGAGGCAGAAGATGAACAGGAGCAGAGAGAAGAGAGTGGAAGGGAAGGGTGTTTGGGTTTGGGGTAAGCGGGCTTGGCAAACACGGCTGAGCAGGCCCCAGGGGCAGAGCCTGCCTTGGAGGTTCAGGGATCCAGCTTCGGGCTGTCATGCATGGGGTGGGGCTGGGCTGCAAAAGGCAGGGGAACAAACAAGCAAACAAACAAACTAGTGCGCGCACCAGCCTTAGCAGCACAAAGCCGAGGGAACCCTTCTGCCAGCACACGGCCAGGGAAGAAAGCCCCTGTTTCTGGACTAGATCAAATTGCACAAGATGTCAGCATCCAGTGGCAGAGACAACATGCTCAGCCACAGGCACTGAGTATCCAGGATGCTCCTGGCACGCTGCCAGACACTTACATCCCCACCTGCTGGAGTGAGGGAGGGGGCTGGGAATGTCACTTGGTCTCTTCTTCTAAATGGAAAAAAAATTCCATTTCAAAGGCCCATTCCCCTTGGAGGATACTGGATTTACGACCCCCTAGCATGATTTCTTACAGAGTCAAAGGCAGGATGCCTTTACAGTCTCTTGGAACATTCCCCCTCAGTGAACATTCTAAATCTCAGTGAACGCAGGGTACCCTGGGTTCTGGTTGAAGTTCTGGGCGTCTGATCTGGTGCTGGGGACTGAAGGACACCGTCAGTCCCAGGCTGTCTCCCAGCTACTCGGCCCTGGCACCTGTATTGCCCCATCTGGGGCTGCCCCACCCCCCAGGCTACTATAGTTGGTGACCCCTCAAGGTTAGCTCATGCCCGGCCCCTCCCAGACCCCTGTGCCATGGTGGGGGGCGGGCGATGAGGGAAGGGCATCGAGGGGCCATCCAGTTCTCTTTACTGTTTGGGGGTTGTCCTCGGCAGGAGGAATTTCTAGTGGGTCCCGGGGAGTGCATCCCTGGGGTCCTGCTGCTTCCGTGGGCTCCCAGCCAGGGGTGGGGCACAGGTCCTTCTGCTCTCTCACTGTCCAGACCCCCTCCCCAGATGTGGCCTGGGAGGGGTGGGCCATGGGCAGGCACAGTGTCCCTTCTCAAGTGGACTTCTGCCTTACCTCTCCCTCCCAATCCAGACGAACCTCTCATAGTGGAGCGAGCTGGAGAAACTCACTCTCCAAATCCTGTTGCCTTGTGTCTTCACTCAGCTTTTGAAAATCCAGAGCCTAAATTGTGGGTAAAGAGTCACAGGGAACAGAAAGTGTGCTGGGGGTGGCCAGCAGGGGGAGGGGCTGGCTGGACACATTTCCACTAATAAATGGCATCATCGGTGGGAGGGGGAGCTGGAGTAACTGGGTGACGGGTAAGGAGGGCACGGATGAAATGAGCCCTGGGTGTTGCGTGCAACCACTGAATCCCTGACCTCTACCTCTGACACTAAGGAAACACTATATGTTAGCGAATTGAATGTAAATAAAATACAATTAAAAAAATAAATGGCATCACCCTGCTGTATTCATACAACCTTCCTGGCAGGCTGTCATCACCCCTGCTTCACAGATGAGGAAACTGAGGCTCAGGGGTTTGGGGAACTTGTCCATCATCCCACGATGTATAAGTAATTGTTTAGATCTGAACCACAGTTGCCTGACATAAAAAGCAGTGCTTTCAGCCACGGCTCTGCCAGCTGCCCCCCTGCCACCTCCCCCCATGCACCAGGGAATCCAAATATTGGGTCAGAACAAGGAACCCCACAAGGTTATGTAAGTCAATTGGTGAACGTTTGCTTTTTCCCTGGTCCTTATTCATCCCAGTTGGGAGGCTTGACGTTGCAGTAAGTCCACAAAGCCCAAGCCAAAGACAGGTTGGTCTGTCTGTTGACATCATAGGCAGCTCCCTCCAGAACAAACAGGCTGGGCTGACTCTACCCCAGAGATTCTTTTTTTTTTTTTTTTAAGATTTTATTTATTTATTTTTAAAGATTTTATTTATTTATTTGACAGAGAGAGACACAGCGAGAGAGGGAACATAAGCAGGGGGAGTGGGAGAGGGAGAAGCAGGCTTCCCGCCGAGCAGGGAGCCCGATGTGGGACTCGATCCCAGGATCCTGGGATCATGACCTGAGCCGAAGGCAGACACTTAACGACTGAGCCACCCAGGCGCCCAAGATTTTATTTATTTATTTGACAGAGACACAGCGAGAGAGGGAACACAAGCAGGGGGAGTGGGAGAGGGAGAAGCAGGCTCCCCGCGGAGCAGGGAGCCCAATGTGGGGCTCTCGATCCCAGAACCCTGGGATCATGACCTGAGCCAAAGGCAGATGCTTAATGACTGAGCCACCCAGGAGCCCTTACCCTATAGATTCTTTATTGTTATTATTATTATTATTATTTTTTTTGAAATTAGAGAGAGAGAGTAGGGGGGAGGAACAGAGGCAGAGGGAGAGAGAGAATCTTAAGCAGACTCTGTGCCCAGCATGGAGCCCGACGTGGGGCTCAATCTCATGACCCTGAGATCATGACCTGAGCTGAAATCAAGAGTCGGACGCTTAACCGACTGGGCCACCCAGGCGCCCCTCTACCGCAGACATCCTTATGAATTCATCTGAGTTGAGGCCTGAAGTTTTTATTAACACATTATATACACATGAAAAGTGCACACATGTGTACAGCTCAATGGAATTTCACAAACAGAAGACACCCAGCATTTGCATCAAAGAGAGGATATTAGCAGCATCCCGGAAACCCCCCATTTTGCACCCCTCCTCTGCCCCACCTTGACACCAGCACCCATCTCCTCCTGCCAAGGGTGGGTGACCACTCCCCTGATCTCTAACAGTAAAGGTTGTTCTGAATGTCATACGAATGGCATCACACCGGTGCCTTCTTTCATTCAGTGGTGTATTGTGAGTTTCGTCCATGTTCTGGGGTGTTCCTTCTCACAGCCATGCGATATTCCCTGCTGACTATACCACAGCTTATCTGTTCTACTGCTGGTGGGCATCTGGGCAGTTTGGGACAGTTAGGAATACAGGGCTATGAACACTCCAATACACGTCTTTTGGTGTATGCATGTCCCCATTTCTGTTGGGTATGCACCTCAGATGGGAGTCCCTGGGTCATGGGATGGGCTTGTGTTCAACTTTGGTAAAACTGTCAGCTTTCCATAGTTGTTGTACCAATTTGCATTCCCATCAGCCATGTATAAGAGTTCCAGTCGCTCCGACTTCTTTTGTATTATCCATTCTGATGGGCTTTGGTGACATCTTGTTGCAGCTTTAATTTGCATGTCCCTGATGACAAACGACACTGAGCATTGGAGAATCCCTGGCCTCTGTGATCTCTGGAGCCCTCCCAGGGTCTCCAACTTTGTTTAAGACCCCAGAGGTTGGCCTGTGGAACAGCCCTCCAGGGAGTGTTTTTATGAGGACAGAAAGGGGTAAAAAAGGGATGGGTAGATGCTGGAGCTGAAAGCAAACAACTGGTCAACCTGCAGGGAAGCAAGAAGAATGTGATCCTCAAAAACAAGCCCCCAGGGCTCACACATGGCACCAGGAAGCTTCTACTTTCTGCTCGTAAATAGAACCCAGCCTCCCTCCCTCTCTAGTCCCCTATCCTGTTTTATTTTTCTCTGTAACACTTACCACCCCCCCTTACTTATTGTAGATTTATGCCATTTGTTTATTGCCTATCTCTCCCATCTAGAATAGTCTTGCTGTTGTCAGTGCCTACAACGGTGCCTGGAGCATAGTCAATGCTCATTAAGTGTTGAATATCTGTGCTAACATTCAAGCCACACAGCTTCTAGGTCTGAGCTGGGGAGGGCTATAGCCTGGCCTGCCAGCCTCAGCCCGACTCTTGGCCACACACACACACACCTGGCCTATCTCTTCCAGTCTTCCCTCCTTTTTTATTTTCATCTGAATTCCCATAAATAGAGGTGTGCGTGCATGCGTGTGATGGAGAGGCAGTTAATAGAGCCCTACACCTAGCAGGGCCCAAAGAGGATGCCAACACAAGCACATTTTCCTATGACAGTGATACCTCTTCCAGGAAGGAGAGAGAGAGAGGCGGAGAGGAAGCGCCAGCTAAGCGGGGAGGAGGGAGCTGAGATGTGGGTCAGTGCCAAGTCCGGGGACAGCTCTGACCCAGCGATGAAATATCAACCACTAAAATAAGCACCCCTGTGGCCTTGGCATCCTGGCACCCAGCCCTGGCTGCCTCTTGATATTAGTTTATTTTGGTTTCAAGAGATGAAGGACAGACAAGAGTCCAGTCCTCACCCTGGACAGCATCCTGGATGGGGGAGGGCAGTGGACAGAGGGCAGATGGCAGGGGGGTGAAGTGGGGGGCCCACAAAGGCCGAGTCCTGGGAGGGACGAAGGTGCATCTATGGAAAGGGAAGAAGGGGATCAAGGAGAAGGCAGAGACAAATCCCAGCCTCTCTTCCTTTCTTTAAAGTGAGCACTGTGTCCTCTGATGTGTGGCTGACCGTGCTTTCCTCTGGAACAATCTGGACCCTCTCAACCGCCCAGCTCAGGGGGTCAAGGGAGAGAAGTCAGTCTTCCCATTTCTAGAGAGCAGAGTGGGGGCATGGCC